AGAGAGAGAGAGAGAGAGAGAGAGAGAGAGAGAGAGAGAGAGAGAGAGAGAGAGAGAGAGAGAGAGAGAGCCTTCCAGCATATTCTGAACCCTGAATGATGGCAGGTCTTGCCAAGGCTAAGTTGTTTAGGGGCTATCCTGGTGACTTCCAAAGGACACTGTGCGCCAGTGAGAGGAGGGGGTCACCCCATGCCCGACAGTTCATCTCTGCTCTGTTCAATGATCTACTTAGGGGAGAGGGACTTCATTGAGAGTGAATTAAAATAATCACTTAGGATCATTTTCTTAAGATTCAAAATCTTGGGCCTAAAAGCTATGAGACAGATGTAGAAGGATGTCTGGCGTGAGCGGAAAGAGTTGGTGCCTGCGTGGGTGACTCCCAGCGCAGGCCTTCAAACTGCCCTCAGGTAGCTCCAGTCAAGCAGACAGGAGGTGTGGCCACGCTGCCCATCTCCCTCCATCTCGGCTCCCACATGGAAAGTAACTATCACACCCTCCTCACACCGTGTGCCTCGGCCGTTTATAAACATACGTGCACACAAACAGGCTCCGGCTGGTGGCCTCCTGTAGACATAGCCATGTGTCTTTGTGCCAGAGAGAAGGCGGATTGCTTGTCTCCCATGTGTGGTGGAGATTTTTACTAAGAGATATGAACACCGGCTTCGGATCCATGAATCACCCAGACTCTGTCCTCTCATCCTCCTGCATCAGTGACATGACCACCTGGGTAGCAGATGCTGCATTCCCTTGTCTGGAGAGTAAGACCTACAAAGTGTGCTCAGAAGCAGAGTCCCATGAACTCCGTCCCAGAAGCCGCTTATGGAAATAGAGTCTAGTGCAGCCTTGGATGTGGGCCTGTGACGGCAGAGAGGATTTCAGACGAAGGGTGGACCATGACGTTCAGACAGGAGGGCTTATACCCTGCGGTGTGTGTGGTACACACCTCTCGATCCAGCCCTCGGGAGGCTGAGGCAAGAGGATCACAACTTCAAGGGCAGGATGTGCGTTTCCCGCCTTCCACCTTGCACAGACCGTGGGTTTTGTTGCTGGAGCTGGTCACTCAACCCCTTCGCACAGCTGGGGACCTGAACAAAGCCGATCCCCAAAGGGCCAATGCCATCCTGCTGACTCATGCCCTCTCCCCTCTCCCAAGGTCGGCCATCACTATATTCCCCCAGAGGACAGACGGCAAGCATGACTTCCGAGTGTGGAACTCACAGCTCATCCGCTATGCTGGCTACAAGCAACCAGATGGCTCTACCTTGGGGGACCCTGCGAATGTGCAGTTTACAGAGGTGAGCTCAGACGCGCCAAGCCCATCCCTGGTGGGACTCTCAGTTCCCCTGTGCTTTTCCACATTGACAATCTTATCCCAGAGGGGTCGGCCAGCAAGGAGCACAGAACCCCCCTCAACCTCATCCTTCCGGTGCCCTTACAGTCATTTGGCCATTTTCATGGTACAACCCTTCCAATGGGAGCTCTGTCCCCTTTCAGAGTTGAATAGACCGAGTCCTGCCAGTGCCAAGGATCTTATCCTGAGCTATTAAATGAATGAAGGAATGTCTAGAACCCTAGGTTTCCCAGCCTCCCACCAGGAGAAATGTGGTCCAGAGAATCCACGTCCCTGGCCACCTTCCTGAACTGACATATATGGCTCCTTCGTGTGTCAATCAATAGTTTGAGCCAGGTGGTGGTGGCGCACGCCTTTAAACCCAGCACTTGGGAGGCAGAGGCAGGGGGATCTCTGTGAGTACAAGGCCAGCCTGGTCTACAGAGTGAGTTACACAAACCCTGTCTAGAAGGAAAAAAAAAAGTTGTCAATCCTTCCTGGAGTGGGCTTGACTCTCCCAGGGTCAATGTATACCACAATGCTGGCGACCAAAGTTGACAAAAACTACCAAGAAAACCAAGACTGCCCATCTCCCTTCCCAGGCTCCCTTCCCTGTGGCCATAGTGAGTGACGTGCAATTCAGAGCTGAATAGACTGTGCCGGGCCCCTGGGATACACAGCAGACAGATGCCGATGCCCGTCCCCTTTTCTCAACCCCCACACACCCTGCTTTTCTCCCCACCCCTGTGTGCTGACTTCATATGCATAAAGCTTTTCTCATTGAAATGTGATCATCCTGAGAACTGGTTGTAACCAGGGCAACCAGGAGGCGCACCTGTGCACTCGGCGCCTGGGCCAGACTCCCCAGACTCCGTTCTACTTGGCTGAGCGCTAACTGCCGAGGGTGTACTTGGCTGACCTTGGCTCCTGCTTAGCTGCACAGGATCGTGTGTCCCAATCTTCTTCCTTATCTGTGTCCAGAACCATCCCTGGCTAGAATGTGTCCTCCTGAAGCCAAGATGTAAACTTCTGTTTCCACTCACACCCCACACAGGAACATCCCGAACCTGGCCACATTGTTACATGGAGTCCTTCATGTCCCTGATGGTGGCCTGTGCATGCTACACAGCTGGCCCCAACCAAGGGATCTCCAAAATGACCCCTCCAAAAAGCCAGGGAAATGGCTCACTAATCGTCTTATATTGAGGATATTTTTGAAATTATAGTAGCAGGGTAGAGAAAATTAGCATATGGATAAATTAGAAAACTTAAATATATCTATTAAATAGTGCTAAATATCGTATTTAAATATACTCAGTTTAACAGTTCTGTCATTCTTTGTGCATCCTGGTAGTGACAGCTGTCCTTCCAGCACTCCGGATCCTGAGGGGGAAGGGTTGTGCGTTTGAGGCCAGCCTGAGCTACATAGTGAGACTCTGTCTCTAAACAAAAGCAGGGCTGATGAGGTGGCTCAGTAGGTGAAGGGCTTGCTGCACAGGCTTGGGTCCCCGCGCCCACATAAAAAGCTGGACCCAGTGCCAGGTGCCTGTAAGGCCAGCACAGAGGAGCTGGGGACAGGAGCGTCCTGCTGGTTGGCTACTGTGTAGTCAGTGGCCATGTCTAGTGGTGGCTCAGTCTCAGCACTCAGGAGGCAGAGGCAGGCGGATCTCTGGGTTCAAAGCCAGCCTGGTCTACAGAGTGAGTTCTAGGACCGTCAGGGCTACATAGTGAGACCCTCAAGGCTGGAGAGAGGCTCTTTAGTTAACAGTGGCTCTTCCATAGGACCCTGGTTCAATTTCCAGCACCCACATGGTGGCTTACAACTGTCTATAACTCCAATCCAAGGAAACCTAATAACCCTTTCCTGGCCTCCAAAGGCGGCAGGAATGTACCTGGAACACAGGCATACACCCAAGCAAAACATCTACACACAGATAAAATAATAATATTTTTTAAAAAAAGACCCTCTCAAAATTAGGTTGAGAGCTTACACACATAAACATATGCACAATATACACACACCACGGAGAGAGAAAAACTTAAAATAAAAATCAAATGATAAAAATGTATACAATTAGTAAATTAATATTGATATTTAATGTACTTTATTATATTCTGTAAACATAGACTTAATATATTCAGTAAATGAACAAATGTCATTTAATTTTAGTGTCAAATGTCTCATTAAAAATCTTAATCCATTATTAATGAATTACTATTCATATGAGGTACGTTGTTGGAGCTAAAATTCACCGTTTAAAATGAGTATGCTAATGCAATGAGCCTCACTTCTTGGGTTTTTCTTCTTAACGAGCTTCCAGAACACTGTAACTCCCGTGTCTTGCTGTGCCCGTGTCTCGCTGTGCGTGTGTTTTCTGCGGTGAGCCACAGCACCGGAGGTTTTCTTTGTATCTTGCAGCACTTAACATCACACATAAAAGCTAGCCCGTGGGAAATGCCAGGGTTAGTCAGACTCAGCCCTCACCCCCTCGGTGTGCAGGTGTGCACAGCCCGCGCTGGGAGACCCTTTCTGGAAAACAGTGGCCTGTGTTCCTGGGGAGAAGTTGCCCTTGTTCTATGTTGAGGTCAGACTGAGCTTGTAAAGGAGGCTTTGACTCCGGGTTTGGTTTTGTTTTCTCAAGCACCTCTCAATAACTGAGAGACCCTGCAGAGCTCGCCTCAGCCCTGTGCCTGCTGTGTTGGGAGGGGCAGGGGCAGAGGTGTGACCAGGGACTCTGTTTGTAGATCTGTATTCAGCAGGGCTGGAAAGCCCCGAGAGGCCGCTTCGATGTCCTGCCACTCCTGCTCCAGGCCAATGGCAATGACCCTGAGCTCTTCCAGATCCCCCCAGAGCTGGTGCTGGAAGTGCCCATCAGGCACCCCAAGTAAGAGGAACTGCCCGGGGGGTGGGGTGGTTCTCCGATGACCTCCTCTGTCCATCCCCTGCCCCACCTCCACCCTAGGTTCTCCCCCAGCCCCAATAACAGAAAGAGGGTCCTGGGTCCCATCCTGGCTATCTGGTAAGGACACAAGGGGTCCTTCTGAACCAGCCAGAGCCATTGGATGCTTCTACTCCTAAGCGACTCCGTGACCTGCCCTTTGCCCGGCCCTTGGGGTAATAAGAGTAGTCACACCTACTGTCTTAGATACAGGCGTTCACTTGAAGAAGCTACGTCCAGTGACCGACCCTGAGTGAACTAAGTTCAGGGAGGAGACCAAGGTCAGAGAAGCAGGTAGCATGCACAATTTAAGAGTAAAGGACGGGTTAGGTTGGTGAGATGATTCAGCCGGTAAAGGAGCTTGCCACCCAGCCTGACTTCTTTAGTTTGATCCCAGAGCCCATACAGTGGAGGACAGACCTGACTCCTGTAAGCTGTCCTCTAGAACACACACCCACTCACGCACACAGCACACACACCAACGAATAAATGTCATCATAAAATGAAGGAAAGCCACCATGAGGTGCCAGACTGGGGCCAAGCCCAAGGGAGGTTGCTAAGAAACTTAAGTAATGTGCAAGATAGATCTTAAAAAGCAAATTAATTATTTTTAATTTATGGTGAACTACATCTCAACTTTTAAAATAAAAACAGGCTTCAGCTCAGCCCTGACATGAAGGTGTGATGACCCGGTGAGTCATCAAGAAGGAGCCTGTCTATTTAAGGAGAGCTTTTTGTTTATTTTTTTTTTAAAGTGTGGATTCATTTAAAATTCCCCATGCACAAATAACAATGCTGTTCTTGTTGACTAAGTCTCTGGAGGACTTGCCCTCTTACACCTGGCACTGGTACCCCACCTGCCTGGCCTGGATCTTCCGCGGACAGGGAATACCCGTCCTGGGGAACCTGATACGTTGGAGCACAGCCAGATGCCTAGATGCACTTGGCTTACGTTCATTTCTGGGCCCGTTCGACCCACTTTGCAGTCCTCATTCCATCCAGCGTGTCTCTAGCTTAGGGCTGTGTCTCTGATTCTATACTCTGTGTCAAAGAGGAGAGGGCCACAGAGAAACAGCTCCTGGAATACTCAGTTCTGTAAAAGAACGGCAAAGGAGACGTGTGAGGTCACCTGAACCCAGCTGGACATCGGGAAGGTTTCCCAGCGCGAGAAATATTAAGCTTAGAATCAAACATAGATTTTAAAGGTGAAGGCACAGGAAAGAGGAAGTTTTGGGGAGAAGAAGCTGTCAATAATCAGGTTTTATGCATGATCCTAGAGGGTACTGAGCCTGGATTATCCCCAACCTGAGGCTGCTGCACCCCTGTCTGTGCTCAGGAGTCACTGCTGCATGCTAAGCAGGGGCCTTTTGCTCTCTGCAGGTTTGACTGGTTTAAAGACCTGGGGCTCAAATGGTATGGCCTCCCTGCTGTGTCCAACATGCTGCTGGAGATTGGGGGCCTGGAGTTCAGCGCCTGTCCCTTCAGCGGCTGGTACATGGGCACAGAGATCGGCGTCCGTGACTACTGTGACAACTCTCGATACAACATCCTGGAGGTGAGGTCCCTCGATGTGGGAAGAGTGGACACTGCTCAGCAGCTTTGGGGATGGGAGACTGGATCGAGCTGGGACAGAACTACAGTCCTGGTGGCTCTTCTAGAAATGCCACAGTACTTACGTCTTTCCTAGCCATGGCTGCCACAGCAAATGGCACAGCCACCACCACAGTGAATGCTTTGCATGCGGCTTACACACGATGTCTTCCCTTGACACATCCACAGAGGATTCCCTGGACCCCTTCAGCTGTGAATATCATCTGCAGTGGGTGACGTGCTTCCCACCCAAAGCATGAGAACCGAGTTTAATCCCCAAGATTCACATTTTAAAATCCAGGCTTGGTAGCAGGTGCCTATAACCCTGAGACCAGGGAAGTGGAGACAGATGGGTCTCTGGGACCCACTGGCCAGATAGCCTAGCCTACGTGGTAAGTTCCAGGTCACTGTGAGAGTGTGCCTCAGAAGACAGGATAGATGGCCCTTGAAGAACAACGGTGGTGCCTGAGGCTGCTCTGTGGCCTCTACATGGACATACATCCATGTGCACCCACACACATGTATGTACATGTATATACCCATACATATACAGACATACACACACACATACACACCTTGATGCTCGAGTCTCATACATAAAATGCTGTGGTATTTGCACTGAGCCTTCTGTATAGTTGAACCTTCTGCAGCTGGACATATGATTTTAAGCACAAGGTAGGTACTGTATAAATGGCTGTCACTCTACAGATCAAGGAATGGTGACAGGGAAATGGCTTCACAAGCTTTTTTACAGATGAAATTCTTTTGAATATTTTATAGTCCAGTGTGGTCTGACCATGCTGTTGAGGAGTGTTCGGTGTAGAGGGCTGGCTGAAGAAGCCATGCAGGCAGGGTGCGTGTGTTTCGGAAGCACTGGGGCTCTTGGTTTATTGAGTTTGTTTGGCTTTGTTTTTCTGTTTGCTTCTGCGATGCTGGGAGTTGAACCCAGGTCCTTGAGCACGCTAGGCAAGCTCTCTACCAATGAACTAAAGCTCCAGTCCTACCTTGTACTTTTCGTTGTATTTTATTTATCAGCAAATGTCCTAACAACAATTTGCAACTGTTGACCTTGCTTCCGGAGAGAAGCAAGGCTGGGCTCAGATCACACAGGCTATCAGTGAAGAGTCGCTGTTGGAACTCAGATCTCAGTGCTAGGTTTATAGTGTTAAAATCCTCTTGCGTCAGCGGGCATGGTAGCCCATGCCTGTGATACTTGGGAGGTCCCATACTTGGGAGGTCGAATCTGGAGGATCAGGAATTCAGGGCTGTCGTTAGCTACATGGCAAGTACCAGGCCAGCCTGGGCTACATGAGACCCTGTCTCAAAAACACGAAAACAAAGCAGTGTTCATGGTTCCGCTATGGAAAGAAGTTGTCAGAAGCCACCAGTCTTGTGGGGACCTAGAGAGTTTCATGGTGCCAGGCCCAGTCCCCAGAACTCTTGCACTATTGATCCGGGGTGTGGACTGGGTATCAGCGTTTTCTTTCTTTCTTTCTTTTTTTTTTTTTTTTTTTTTTTTTGGTTTTTCGAGACAGGGTTTCTCTGTGGCTTTGGAGCCTGTCCTGGAACTAGCTCTGTAGACCAGGCTGGTCTCGAACTCACAGAGATCCGCCTGCCTCTGCCTCCCAAGTTCTGGGATTAAAGGCTTAAAGGCGTGCACCACCATCGCCCGGCTATCAGCGTTTTCTTAAAGCTCCCAAGGAGAATCCACTAGATGAGCACCGGTATGTACAAGACTCTGGCAAGAAAGAAAATTACACATTAGTCCACATCCTAGTTCAAGTAACTTCTACAAGTTTGGTTTTGGTTTTTCAAATCGAAAAGGGCATATTTCAACAATTTTTATGCTTTTAATGAAAGTAATGCTGCATGGTGCCCAGGTGTGTGTGCCCTCCTGTTTCAGAAACTCACCAGGAAGTTAGATGTGTGTACATAAAACAGGAGCCATTGGCTTTCTGCAGAAGTGTTCCCTGATTCTCATCCAGGCTAAACCGAAAGGCTTCGCCTTCGACAGTGAATTGATAAGTCTGCTTTCTGCTCTCCCGGGCACCTCATGACTTAAATGAGAGGCTCTGTCACCCCGGCCCTTCAATCCCAGCTGCTGGGAACACTGTCAGCCGGGGCCGAGGAGCAATTTACCCCAATTGAGGGATGGTGGCATCTGAGCCTAGTAATGAGACCGGGGCTCCCACCAGCGCCTGGCCTTGACAAAGAGAGGAAAAAGCATGACTTTAATTAAGGGAACTGCCTCGAGCCTCTGCCACTGTTCGTGGATGTTCGTTTCTGTTATGTCAAATACTAGTGCCGGGACGTATTTCTTTCAAGTTATTTTGCTAGAGTTGTCGTTGACTTAGGAAGCAACTGGCTCCCGGCGTTCTGGGTCTCAAGCGTTAGGCGTTAACACAGTCTCCCCCATTGACTGGCACATGAGTTTGGTGGCTGGAGGGCCAAGCACGTCTCTTTAGTTACCACCTGGGTTGTCGATAGCAAATCTCTGGAACCTGTGAACGAGTCAGTCAGCCCATGAGTGGGTTAGCTGTAGTTAGGAACTTCCCTCACAACAGCTGTCTTTGGAATCCAGCATTAGCCAGGCTGTGAGTCTGTTTTCCTTGCCCTTCCAGGAAGTAGCCAAGAAGATGAACTTGGACATGAGGAAGACGTCCTCCCTGTGGAAGGACCAGGCGTTGGTGGAGATCAACATTGCTGTTCTATACAGCTTCCAGGTATCCTAGCACTCAGCGCCAAGCTCAAGCCTCAAAGGAGAGAGGGGAAAAAGGGACTTTCTAGAGGTCAAGTGTTCTGCCAACAAGATTCACCTTTGGGAGCCCAGCCAGTATAGTAAAGCGCTGGCCTCACAGGCATGAGGTCCTAGAGTCAACACCCAGAACCCATATAGAGAGCCAGATGGAGGGGACAGATACTTGGAATCCCAGCAATGCTGAAACTAGAGACAGAGACAGGCGGGTCCCTGGCTCCTCACTCTGGTTATCCAGACTAGCCTGGATTGGCCAATGAGAGACAAGAGACTCTGCCTCAGACATCTGAAAAATGACACCCAAAGCTCCCCTCTGACCTCCACCCACGTACACACATGCACCTTCCTACATGCTTAAATACATCACAAAAAAAAAGTCACTTTCAGGGGGCTCCCATCTGTCAGTGGCTACTTCCTGTCTTACGGGCCTTGACAGAGGAAGACATTTGCTACAGAGAAGCGGGAAGGACGCTGCAGCTTGACGGCAGTGTCTCCAGACTGTGCTGCCTCTTAGAGACTTGGACATCCTCATCACAGGGATGACACCCAACTTCACTCTGGGCCACAAAACTCCCTGCCCTGCACAAGGAGTTTTCCATGGCCGGGAAGTATGCCACCAGAATGTGCTGCTTCTGTTGTGAGCACAAGGTGGGCATTGTCAATTATTCTAATTGGACAGACACGAAGTGAGATCTCAGTGGCCACTCTTAGAACCTGAGGTCAGCCCTGCCCTGAGGGTACCAGTGGCCCCGGTCTGAGTAGGCAGAGGGCGAGCATATTCATTCAGACCTTGGGTGGACATGTTTAGAGCAAGCACCGCACCTCACAGAGAATCATGGTGCAGAGATCCATTGGGGGGGAGGGGGCAAGAGGCCACTTCCCAGGGAGAATTAAGAAGCTGTGGAAAATATCAGAACTCAGCCCCTGGTGGGGACACTCGGGACATAAAAGAGATGAGGGAAGGAATGCAGTCAGGGCAGTATCTCTTAGACAACTTGTGAATCCATGCCCGCCAGCCCCAGCCTGTGCCAGACACTGGTCCACCCACCTCCGTGCTGGCTCATCCCTTTGATCTCTAATCAGTTCAAACTCGCCCCTTAAAACTAAGTCGAGAAGATTTTATTTCACTAGATAAATAGTTACAGAGGATAATAAAACAGGAGATGGGCACACAGACATAAGAAAAACAAAACAAAGCCCTGAGAGTCTGGCTCCCGCCCCTGGTTAAAGGAAGAAGGGAGGGAAGATGGACCAGGTTGACAAGGAGGTCTTGGAGGCACACCAGCACCAAGTAGAACCTTCGTCATGCACAATTAGACTTAAAGAACTAAGACTCACCCCAGGGCTGCCCTTGGCAGACTCTTCGGGAAGGTGCCTGAACATCTCACCTTCTCATCATTCCTGACTCCTTGTCCCTTCTCCTCCCGCAGAGTGACAAGGTGACCATTGTTGACCACCACTCTGCCACCGAGTCCTTCATCAAACACATGGAAAATGAGTACCGCTGCAGAGGGGGCTGCCCTGCCGACTGGGTGTGGATTGTGCCCCCCATGTCGGGCAGCATCACCCCTGTCTTCCACCAGGAGATGCTCAACTATCGACTCACCCCCTCCTTCGAATACCAGGTCTTGCCCCTCACTGCTCTGAGTTCACCTCTGCCCTGAGACCCACCCTGCCCAGGGGCCAAGTTTTCCCAACCCACGGGAGCCCATCTCTATCAGGGGCAGTGCTGTGGTCACAGGTGCGCCCAGTAGCCTGAGAGACTTATGGAGACAGGAAATGACTGTACAAGAAGAGGACATGCATATCCAGGAAGAGATCAGTTGGACAGAGTGCAGGGTGGGGTGACACCTAGAATCTAGCGCTCAGGAAGCTGAAGCGGAAGGATGACAGTTTGTGGCCAGCCTGGGCTACATAGCCAGACCCTATCTCAAACAGAGTCTGGAGGGACCTGGGCTGAGTGGGAAGGGCTCATGGGGCAATGCGGAGAGGGACGTCTGTTGGGCAGCCGTAGATGCTCTGGACATCTCCAGGTGGGATGACTGAATTTCCTCATGCTGGTGCCGTTGCGTCTCTTCCCAGCCTGACCCATGGAACACGCATGTGTGGAAGGGTACCAATGGGACCCCCACGAAGCGGCGAGCCATTGGCTTCAAGAAATTGGCAGAGTGAGTTCCCTATAGTGGGAGATGGATGGATCTGTTCATAAGCAGGGAGTGCCCAGAACTAGGCAGGTGCTGTAGCCTGTGCCAGCACAGTAGTGGGTACTTCCATCTTATCACCACCATTTTACACACACACACACACACATGCATACACACACATACATACATACGCACACATACATGCACACACATATACACACACAATGCATACACATGCACATGCACTCACATACACATACATACACATACACACATTCACACACACGCATACACACACCCACAGGGTGGGGGATATAGGTGAGATAGGCTGAGCTTCAATAACAAGACCCTATTTGTTGGTTGTTTTATGTTGTTGTTGTTGTTGGTGGTGGTGGTGGTAGTGGTGGTGGGATTTTTTTGTTGTTGGTGGTGGTGGTGTGGGGGGAGGGTGTTTTGTTTAGTTTTTTGAGGCAGGGTTTCTCTGTGTAGCCCTAGCTGGCCTGGAACTCGCTCCAGGTTGGCCTCAAACTCAGAGATCTGCCTGCCTCTGCCTCCCAAGTGCTGGAACTAAAAACATGCACCACACTGCCTGGCAAGACTCTGTCTTTTTTTTAAAAAAGTAATTACTAATAATTATTGATAATAGTAATGATAATAATGTTTAACTGAGCCAAAAGGAAGATCAGGAGACTGTGGACTATTAAGGAATCACTTTTGACACAGGGTCCAGCTGGCGTATTTGGGTGGCATATGTCACCAAGATGATTTAATGGAGTCAACAACTGTCTGTCATCCAACAGCAGCCATGTTGCCAACCTTGGACCTCCGATATGGGGGAATAACTCATAAGCCAATGTGGTCCCTGAACTCTGGGATGCTGTGTGTCTCTAGGGGTCCCTACATCCCATTCTAACATCCTGTGTCCTTTCTCCGTTCCCCGTTTTTCTCTCCACCTGCTCCCTCGAAGAGCCGTCAAGTTCTCAGCCAAGCTGATGGGGCAGGCCATGGCCAAGAGGGTCAAAGCAACGATTCTCTATGCCACAGAGACAGGAAAATCACAAGCCTATGCCAAGACCCTGTGTGAGATTTTCAAGCACGCCTTTGACGCCAAGGTGAGCAAGGGCTAGTGGAAGCTCCCTGGACCCTCACAGTAAATAATGTGCGTATCTGCATACATACCAAGCATAGATATGTCTCCCATGGACCCTGCAAGAGTCCGGCCCACAGGAAACCCCCATCTCTAGAGCAAAGTGTTAGTGGGTTGATGAGAGCCCACCCTGCTAGGGATCAGTGTGAGAAGCCTCAATAGTTACAGCTCCGTGCATAGCTCAGGACTTCCCAGAGCTCCAAATCCATGAACACCCATTAAAACTGGGGAAATTATGAACTATACATATTTCCAAACAAGATCCCTGGTTTTCATGGGGCCTCTGGGGAGAGTGGGGTTCCTTAGAAAGGTGGAGAGATGTGCAGGTAATGCTGAAATGCAGGTGACAGTCCTCTCCCTGCGACGTGCACCTCAGCCTCAGGGGACTCAGGTCCTTCCAGGTACTGGAGGCAGGATTAGAGAAAAGACTGGGAAAACCTATTCAGGTGCTGCCAGGTCACACCCTGCCTAACTGTGGTCAGGACTCCAAGATCACAAACTATCTGGGGGCATGGGGTTGGGCACATGGCTCAGCCAGTAAAGCGTTTACCATCCAACCATGACCATTGGAGTTTAGGTGCCAAGCACCCAAATGTAAATGCCAGGTGTGCGGTGGGTAGCCTGCAGCCCTAGCGCATGGGGGGGGGGAGTGAGACAGGAATTTCCCCTGAGCAAGCTGGCTTGTTAGGACAGACCAATCAGTGATCTCTGGGCTCAACTGAGAGACCCTGGCTCAGAAAAGGAAGTGGAGAGCAATGTGGAAAGACACCCACTGTCAACTTCTGACCCTTCCCATGCACATGCACAAATATGTGAACTCACACACATTCACATCACACACACACGCACGCATGCACGCACATAAGCACGCACGCATGCATGCAAGGGAAAAAAATGGTTCAGGGATCGTTATAAAGATCTACTCCATTGGACCAGAGCCTGGGTTCCCATAGCCCTTCAGGACACAGCAGCCATTGCAAGATTTCATGCCAGCAAACATCACTAGTGCTACCACAAGGGTCCACTAGATAGTGAGCATCGAGAACATCAGGTCCCGCGCCAGGAGGCAGCTCAGCATAGCTCACCCTCTTGCTCCTTGTACCCTCTGCCCGCTCTCCTCATTCCCACTCACCTCTCCTCTCCTCTCCCATGCCCCCCACACCTAGGCAATGTCCATGGAGGAGTATGACATTGTGCACCTGGAGCACGAAGCCCTGGTCTTGGTGGTCACCAGCACCTTTGGCAATGGAGACCCCCCTGAGAACGGGGAGGTGAGAGGGGATGCCCCTGCCCTAGCATGGGATTCCAGTCCCCACAGGAAATGGTCACCGCTGGGATCCTTCCCCACAACTCCCTCCCCAAGCCCCAAAGTCAAGACTTTGATTTGATCCAATTTGGGCAAAGGAACAATACCAAGTTTTGACTACCAGTGTCCCTTGGCTAAAGGTCCCCACAGTGAGCTGTGTGTTTAAGGTACTCCAGTTCTGAGCTTGGAGCACACAACAGTCGGTTGTACCCTGGGGTGGGGCGCTAGCTCACACCTGTACTTTAAATAACCAGCCATGCCCACACATACATGGAACCTGCAGCTGGGACACTGGCCGCCCACCTCAGCCCCCGGCCGCCCCTGGCATCGTGCCATCAGGCAGCAGTCACGGCCCCAGAACCTGTGCCCACCACTAATCCGTTCTTCACGTTCTGCTCGTTCGCTTTGACTTGTAGAAATTTGGCTGCGCTTTGATGGAGATGAGGCACCCGAGCTCCGTGCAGGAGGAAAGGAAGTAAGTGAATGTCCTCTCTGACGTCACATACTGCCCTTGGGAACCATCGAACATGTCTTGACAACTGGGGCTCACGTGAGGGCCCTGCTGTGGTTGACAGCTTTGGAGATGGGTTTGAGCTGCTGGTTTGGCCTTCACTGTGGCTGGAGTTATGGTCTCTGGCTTGACATCCCTCTCCTCTGTACCTCTAATTCTGTTATCAAGCAGAGATAGTAATATCTACCTTGCCTTCCTGAACCAAATCAGATTTTTAAAATGGGAGGGTCTCGAGAAAGGTTCGGAGCACTGTGCAAACCTCGGTTCCTATTATCACTCCTCTGCCTTTGGAACCCACACTGGAAGTCGGGAGCCACTCTTTCCTTAGAACCTTCCATCCAAGGCTCAGAATGGCTGTGCAGGTCAAGTTCAAAGGGTAAACAAGTCATTTGCTAAGCCAGAGGCCTGTGATTACACACACGTTTCTGAAGGAGTTGGACCTCACATGGGTTCTAAAGGCATTTTACAGGGCTAGCAAAATTGCCTAGTTGGGTGGGGATTGTTTGCCACCAACCTTGATAACCAAGCTTGATCCCCAAGACCCACCTGGTGGAAGGATAATATTGACTCCCCCTCAACACATTTTACAAGGTGGAAACGTCTGTGCACTAAACCATCTTTAGAAAGCTCTAGAACCTTCTTTGAGGTGTTGAACACAGGGCACATGCACACTGAACCCCCCTCAGGAGACCAATATAGACTTGCCTCCAAAAAGCGGATCCTGTGACTTAAGAGTGTGTGTGAGCCGGGCAGTAGTGGCGTACACCTTTGATCCCAGCACTTTGGAGGCAAAGGCAGGTGGATCTCTGTGAGTTCAAGGCTAGCCTGGTCTACAGAGTGAGTTCCATGACAGCTGGGGATATACAGAGAAACCCTGTCTTGAGGGGAAAAAATAGCAAACAAGAAAGAATGTGTGTATGATTCATAGCTGACTGGACTTTAGAGACCCTCTCTCTGGGTCTCCCTCCTGAGAACAAGGACCAAACCCAGACTCTGGGTACCCAGGGAACAGAACCATGAGCATCTTCTGGTCAGCACTTGCTCCCCAGCAGCTCCAGCATCTTGCCCTCCACCTCCCCATCCCTCTCCGTTATACCCACAGCAGCTCCCCTCTCCCCACCTCCTTCAGGGAGAGATAGGGCACCATCCATTCTCCCCTCTAGGTACCCGGAACCCTTGCATTTCTTTCCCCGTAAAGGGCCTTCCCTGTCCCCTGCTAACCTTGAAGCCCACAGTCTGGTTGCTGTCGGTGACAACCAGCACAGGTAGAGAGCATCCATGTGCATGTGCATGTGTGTGTGTGCCTCTGTGTGTGTGTGTGTGTGCATGCATGGTGTGCATTACATGATGCATGCCCTGTGCTGGAACATCCCTGGCTACATCTGAGTCTCAAAGAGACCTGAATCCTCACCCAGGCCTTGCCACTAACTCCAGGAACCTTAAGCAAATCTCTTGACCTCTGTGGACCTTGGTCCTTCTCATTAACCGAATGGGGAGAAACCTCGGCTCTGCCAGTCTCTAGGGGCTGCTGCTGAGGACGGAGGGAATTATCTACAGCAGGGGAAGCAATGGCAGAAACCTCCAGCCTCATACAGTACACGTGCTGGTATTTTTACCCCACAACCATCCATCGTGACTCCCCCGCTAACGACACAGCCACCCCCTGGTATGCTGCATGACGGATTTGGAGAAGTGACTCAAAGCGAATCTATTTTCGGGGCAGAAAATACACATCCGTGTATTTAGAACCTTGTTAGAACAAAAACTTTGAAAAGCATCCAGCCTAGAAACGCTCTGCCAGAGTGTGCATGTTCCTTTTTTGTTTCTCTGTCTCTCTCCCTCCCTTCCTCCCTCTCTCCTTCCCTCTCTCCCTCCCTCTCCTTTTGCATTCTAATATGTTTCTTGGGATTCTGTCTTAGTTTAGGGGATTTGGGAAGGGAAAAGTTTTCTGTGTTGAATATTGAGAATTTTATTTTAGTTTGTGTTTTTTAAGATTTATTTTAAATTATGTAAGTGTAAGTGTGTGCAGTGCCCACAGAAGCCAGAAGGGGGAGCTACCTCCCTTAGAGTTGGACTTACAGGTCCTTATAAGCCTCCATGTGGTTGCCAAGGAATGAATTCAGATCCCCTGCCAGAGTGGCAATGCCAGCACTTGTTTCTGGTTTGTCTAGAAGCAAAAGATCTTGATGGAAACTGATTTTGTTTTCAGTCTCGGGTTCCTGAGCCTCTTGTGCTGCGGCCTCGGCCTTGGACATCCTCCCTGGCTGTAAAAACTGTGGGGAAATGCTGGGCCTATAAGGTGCTTGTCTCACAGCTGTGAGAACCTGCGCTCCATCCTCAGAACACACACTGTCCAGACATGGTGGGGCCGGGCGTGGTGGCATCTTTAATCCCCGTGTTCAGAAGACAGAGGCAGGGGATGTCTGAATGTTCAAGGCCAGTCATGGCTTCATATTGAGATCCTGTCTCCAGAAGTGCAAAAGAGGAGAGGGAGGAAAAAAGAGAAAGAGAGAAAGAGAAAGTCAGGAAGCAAGTATAGCAATCCCTGCATAGGCCTGGCCAGCTAACCTAGCCTATTTGTCTAGGCCAATGACAGAGTCTGTCTCAAAACACAAGATAGGCAGTCAGCACCTGAGGAAGACTCCCAAAGACCTCTCTCTAGTCTCCATACACAAGTACACATACAGCCCCCCACATGTGCATAGACATACACACACACGTTTACATACGTGCACCCACAAACATATGGACATATTTACATAAATACACACACCCTCACCCACACACAGTGTGCATGCATGCCTCAGATCAGTGCCAAGAACAGTTTCCACTTTTACTAGAAACGCGGCTCGTGACCCTAAAATGTCTGAGAATGTCACTCCGCAGCAGGAGAGTCCTGGCAGGGACAAGCCAGCCTTGTGGGACTTTCTACAGTGATCTCGTCTGTCTCTGCTGGCTGTAAAGCAGCCACCAGCAGCATATGGCTACTGAGCACCTGGAACGAAACGCGACGAGTGCAGACAAGGCGCCGATGCTTTAAATTTTCATGCCAAGGCACACTGTAGGTTGGGCATATTTTCCCGTATGTCCCTAACCCCCTTCCTTGCCCTTCCCGTGTCCCTCCACAGCTTCACTTGTACTTCCCTGCCATTTACACACACATGAGGTTATGTGTTGCTTTAAAATTCAGGAACTACAAATGGGAGAAAACGTAAAATATTTTTCTGGGATTGGCTTATGTAATCATCCCCACCCCAACCCCCATTTCTGCAACTAATGTGACCTCTTTCTCCTTCTCTTCCTCTTCCTCCTCCTTCTTTTTGATTTTTTGAGGCAGGGTTTCTCTGGGTAGCCCTGGCTGTCCTGGAACTCACTCTGCAAACCAGGCTGGCCTCAGACTCACAGAGATCCACCAGCATCTACCTTTAGTCTGCTGGAATTAAAGGCGTGAGCCACCAAGCTCAGCTGAGGCTTACTTCATTCTTCTTTATGGCTAGAAAGTCTCCTCTGGGTTCCTACTCTCTGCGCATCCCACATTTAACCAAGCCTTCTCGTCTTGGACACCTAGTTTGTAATTGTAGTTCATTGTAATTAGCTTTGGGTTTGCATAGTCGCAGGCAGCAAATGTTGACTCTTGAGCCCCCCCCCATCTCTACTGAACCAGAACCCTCACTTTACCAGAGTTCCCCCTTATTCTGCATGCTACAACTTGAGAGGCCAGGAGGCCTGGTCCCAGTCACAGCACCCCACCCCCACCCCACTGACCCCATACTGACAAGACTATCTGAACTCTGTGGGTCTCAATCTTCCCAGTTTAAACAAGGCCCGGAAACATTTACATTTGAGAGGTCAGCTCTCATTGTGGCCGTTGTGGGTAAATCGATGCATTCCCAGAGAGCCCAGAAGAGTGGTATAATTTATCTCAATAGTGGAGAGAAAGTTCTAGAACTAGGATCAAGAAGTTGAAGATGTCCAGGGTGGGAGCTAGCCTCAGGAGGGCTCCAAGGCAGAATTCATGCCCTTGTCCGTTTGTCACAGGAGCTACAAGGTTCGATTCAACAGCGTCTCCTCCTATTCTGACTCCCGCAAGTCGTCAGGCGATGGGCCCGACCTCAGGGACAACTTTGAAAGCACTGGACCCCTAGCCAATGTGAGGTGAGTGTGGGTGCAGGGGACCAAGGGTGGTGAACGCTCTTAGGGAGCAGGGCTCGGCGGTGAGTGGTTCTTCCTTCAGGAGGAGAATTCTTCTTTCTTCAGGGGCTGCTTCCTCTCTAAGTCACACTACCTGGTCTCCCATGTGTGGGAACATTTGCACCTGACAACCTCTGATGTCTCTCCCGCTAACCCCGCCACCACCCAGATCCTATCACCAAGGCTAATCCATCATCTGTACTGTAGGGCACTAGTCTCTGGATGCTACTGTCTCAGCTGCAGATTTTACACAGAGCAAACCTCTCTAGAGACACCCTGCCATGGTGATCCCATGGATCTCAACCCTAGGCACACGGTAGAGTCACTTGGAGGCGACCCATGTGTGGCTGGTGATGTAGTCCCAGCCCTCAAGAAGCTGAGGAGAAAGGATGGCAAGTTCAAGGCCAGCCTGGGCTACATTGGGAGGGCCTCAAACAAAACAAAAATAACCTGGGGATGTACACAATTGGCCAGTGTGATGCCCAAGTCCAACGGAAGAGCTTCTGCAGTTGGTCTAGAACTGGACCTGCTGTTGCCGCTTTTCTTCTAAGCCTTCCAGTGGACTCTGCCATGGGGTCAGATTTGAAAACTCCTCCCCAAACCCACATTTTCCTAAAGCAGAGTCACATTCCATGAGAAAATTTGGCAGAGGAGGGGCACAAAGACAAGCATTTGAGGACTCAATGTGTGTTCAGTTGAGTAAGTATTTAGAAAGAAAAATAGGGACGTCAAGATTCGCTGTCCTGGGTAAAGGCCATGGTAGGCCTGTTGGGCCACCATCCAGACCTAGCCATAACTGTCTCCCACCTTGACCAGACAAGCCTTCTCAATGACTGCTCAGAGCCAGACTCATAGATGGCGCGGGACACAGGACTCCTAAACAATGAAGAACTGTATCTATTGCTACATTCTTACACTCTATTTGTAATCTGTGTGTGGCGTGTGTGTGCATGGGTGTGTGTCACTCATAATGTGGGGCAGCTTTAGATTTTGATATCAGAACATTATGTTAGCATTACCTTCATACTCCAGTTAGGGAAAAAGGTATCCCTGCCCTAACCCATACCCTACCCCTCCCCCCGAAAACAACTCCCTTCTTCCCATTGGTGGACTCGTATTTAAAGAACTGAACTCAAGAGCGTAGAGTTGGCTCGGTCTGGGAAGTTACTGCCACGTGAACATGAGGGCCTGAGTTTGATCCCTAAGACCCGTGTGAAGTCCAGGCATGGCGTCAGGCATCAAGGTGTGAGCTGTGATCCCGGCCCTGTGGAGGAAAACAGGGTCCTCAGGTCCCAGCGAGAAAAAATTATTCTGAGACTCAACATCCACAGTTGGCATCTGCCCCCCACATGCGTGTGCACACATACCTGTGCACACATCAAAACTAATTGTACTTAATTATGGTGATATTTTCATTTTATCATAGAAAAGTATGCAGGCACTTTTTTTTTCTTGTTTAAAAGCCCACAAAGAACCTTTCAACTTTGAAATCTTAAATGCCTTTGCTATCTGGCCCGGCAGATGAGAACTTAGTCAACTGTTGATTTCGAGGTTTAAAATAGGAGCTTTGGACTCCTCAGTAGCGATTGTCATGGTAACGTGAGTCTCCCAGTGACTGGTGTGGGCCCCTCAGCCCGTCCAGAAATGTTGTCATGAGTCAGCCACCTGATCCTCTGCGGGTGAGCAGGAGGGTCACGCGTCTGCGTCTGTTGGAGATGCTGTAGTGAAAGGCTGACGGGCGTTTGTTGCTCCCATTTCTGGGGGCCTGGGGAGTCCAAGGTCAGGGTCCCGTGAGAGCTCACCCCTACTTCGTGCACAGCTCCTTATAGCTGTGCACTCATGTGGTGGGAGGGATGAAGTCTGGTTCCTTCAACCCCTTAAATGGGCACTCACTTCATTCTAACGAGCCCCACCCTGATGACCTAATACCTCCCAGAAGCCCTTTCCCTTCATTCCGTCAGAACAGGCTTCCTCATGGGAGTCAGGGACTCAATTACTCAAGCCATAGTATGTAGACTGCCCAGCCAGTGCATGAAAAACAAAAGGAAGTTACACAAGCCAGGTATCCCACACATGCCCGCAACCCCATGTCTCAGGAGAGTGGAAACAGAATGGCAGGGACTTGCTGGTTTATACAACGTAAGCTCTACATTCAAGGAGAGACCCTGCCTCAAAGGGATAGGTGGGGAGGTAGAGGAGAATATACAGTGCCCTCTTCTGGCCTCTGCCTATGCACAGGCATGCACATCTGCACACGTGTGTGCAGACACTCACAGACACAGCTAAGTAATTTTAAAAAGCAAATTAAAACACAAGGAGTCATTAACAATATCCAGTAAGGTCAAACGTGGCCAACAGTACACACCCACATAACAGGGATGTTGAGCATAGGTATATCTGTATTGGGCTAAGGCATGAAACAGAAGAGCCCTTTTCTGTCACCCCTCTGATTTGTCCACACTGGTTGCCTCATCTGTGCATAGGCTGCTTCCCTGTGAGGAGTGGTACTCAGACCCAGCAAGACTGGGGGGGGGGTGACAGGAAAAACCTGGTCTCAAGCACAGGCTGTGCTTGGGAGGACTCTGGAGCCCCTGGAGAAGAAGGCTGTGAAGGAAAGGAAGAGCAGAATCTAACAGGATCAAAGGAAGACAGAGAGACCTGTTTGCTCTACCAGTGAGACCACTGGGTCCATCCCAGTTCATGTTGTAATGATGAAAAGCTTCCTCCCAACATCCCTCCCTCCTCCTTCTTCTTCCATCTCTGCTGCCATTTCATCCACAGCAGCCTTGAGCCATTCCGGGACAGTGGGTGACAAGGCTCCACTCCTGGCTTGTCTGGGGTGACTGTCTTTACCAGAGCATCCTCCTTGGAGACAGCAGAGAGGGGTTTCTGTCGCATTGGTGAATCCATCATTGTAGTCCAGACGGCTCAGTCAGGACCACTCTCCAGAAATGAGCCATATAATATCTGTAAGAGGGCAAACTAGGGGGCTGGAGAGATGGATAGCTCAGTGGTTAAGAGGACTGGCTGTTCTTCCATAGGTCGTGAGTTCAATTCCCAGCAACCACATGGTGGGTCACAACCATCTGTAATGAGATCTGGCGCCCTCTTCTGGTGTGTCAGCATACATGGAGGCAGAATGTTGCATACATAATAAATAAATCTTTTTTTTAAAAAAAAAGAGGGCAAAAACTAATGTCTCAGTACTCAGGAGATGGGAACAGGAGAAGCAGAGTTCAAAGCCATCCTAAGCTATATGAAACCCTGAGTCAAACAAACAAAGAAAAATCCTATAAATAAATAAGGTCCACCGCCCTCCCCAGTCCTACAGTCCCCACCTCAGCATGGAGAAAACCCACATTCGCTTCACCCCCACTGACTCAGGTTCTCTTGGTGGAGAGAGCTTGTGAAACACTGGTTTCACAGACATTAGAAAGGGTAGAGCATGCATGTACAGTGTGCACGACTTCCCATGTAGGAAATCCCACTTCTACACCAACATGTGATAAGTTCAAAAGTCCTTCGGGTCTCTTTGTGAGTTCAGATCCCCATGGTCACCACATTAGCGTCCTCATGGCCATCCTTGAGACATGGACTTGTGGCAAATGGAAGCATCCCTGCTGAGATTCTCTTCTTCATGGACTAGCTAACAGAGGAGACTATACCCAACAGCTGATGTTTCCTGCTCATTGCCCTCTCCTTCCTCAGAAACCACTGGAACCTTCTCTTGAGGACAATCATCACTGTCAGAGACTAAGAGGAAGAAGGGTCTTAAGAACTCTTGGGATTAAAGTCATCCTTCCACTAAAATGTGTTTTTACGTAGTCCCGAAAGCTAGGAGTTCAGCAAGGGTTAGATTCCAACTGGCTTCTCTTAGCGGTTTGTTAGAGAAAGAGGAGGAGAGGAGGGACGGAGGAAGAGAAGAGGAGGAAGAGGAAGAAGAGGAGGAGAGGAGGGGCGGAGGAAGAGGAGGAGGGGAGAATGACTTTATAGGGATCTTACTAACATTGATCACTTTCTGAAAGCTCCTATTCCAACATACCATCCCATGGAGTTCAGGATTCCAGTACATGAATTTCAAGGCCACACTAATCAGCCCATGGGACCAGACACCTCACACTCTGCAGCCCCCCATCACAGACCTTCTGTTTTCTCCTGGACAGGTTCTCAGTATTCGGCCTGGGCTCTCGGGCGTACCCTCACTTCTGCGCCTTTGGGCATGCAGTGGACACCCTCCTGGAGGAGCTAGGAGGGGAGAGGATTCTGAAGATGAGGGAGGGGGATGAGCTCTGCGGGCAGGAAGAGGCATTCAGGACCTGGGCCAAGAAAGTCTTCAAGGTAGGAGACCCTCTGTACCCGAGACAGCGCCAAGCTATCTATGGGGTGTGGCTCAGTGGTAGTGTGTTTGCCTAGCAAGCAGGAGGCACAGGGTTGTAACCCCAGAATGGGAAGGAAAGGAGATGGGGGTAGAAATGTAAAGCAAGAAAAGTAAGGAGGGAGAGAGGGAGGGAAGGAGGGAGGGAGGGAGGGAGAGAGGGAAGGAGGGAAGGAGGGAAGGAAGGAGAGACAGAGGGAAGGAAAGAGGAAGAAAATAAAGGAGAAAGAGAAGGATAGGCCAAGGAGGGTCCTCCCCCAATGTCCACAGCCAGGATACAGCTCCAGTGAATTTGAGCAACCTTAACATACACCTTTCCCACTCAGAGTTCTCAGGGACACTGAAGCCGACCCTGTGGCTTTTATTCTCTCTGTCCACGGCCCTGGAATCCATCCTCATCAGCAACCCCAGAAGGAAGGGTCCTGGGCAGCTTCTGTCATTGAACTTGTGCCGAAGGCCAGAAGGGAAACTGAGGCCCAAGGGTCTATGAATTATTAGAGAAAATATGTGTCTATAAGCCTCTTCCTGGATTTCCATCCAGACATTGAGAGCCGAGATGAATTCGAGTTCATCCACATCTGAGATAACCGTGCTTTCTCTTCTCACCAGCCTACTTTGACTGAGCATCCCAAAGGCCAGGCCCCTAAGAAGCCCCTAAACCAGTGGTTCTCAACCTTCCTATCACTCTAATTCACTTCTTCGTGCTGTGGTGACCCCCAACCATAAAACTGTTTTCATTGCTACTTCATAACTGTAATTTTGCTACTGTTATGAATTGTAACGTAAACCTTTTGGTGATAGAAGTTTATCAGTGGGGTCAGGACCCACAGGTTGAAAAGCGTTGCTCTAAACCCTGCAGCTGTTGATATTCTGGTTTCCCATCCCACCCTCAGCTTGAACAGTGTCTCATGTTGACCCACCAGGTCCCACAGCCATTTAGCCCCAAAGAAATCACACAGAGGTCCACATTTGTTATAAACTGATTGACCCATTAGCTCAGGCTTCTTATTAACTCTTATAACTTATACTAGCCCATTATCTCGTCTATGTTAGCCACATGGCTCAGTACCTTATTCAGCAAGGCAGTCACATCTTACTACTTCTGTGGCTGGGTTACGACTACAGACTAGGACCTCCTTCTTCCCAGAATTCTCCTGTTCTCATTGAACTGCCTCTACTTCCTGTCTAGTTGTCCTGCCTATACTTCCTGCCTGGCTACTGGCCAATCAGCATTTATTTAAAATATAGTTGACAGAATACATACCATTGTCCCACACCAGACTCATCTCTGTGTCTGCAGATATTTTTTCTTGTTCATATAAATGAAGTTCAATACCAGAACCTTTTATGACTGGCTTCTTTCCCTTATTACAAAGTTTTTAAGATCCATCCATGTTGTGGCATGTGCCAGCACTTTATCCCTTTTTGTAGCCAAATAATATTACACCCCATGATACTTGGCTTTTCTATTTTTCTGTTGACGAACATGTCAACTGTTTTGAAATAGGCACACAACCAGATAATAATAAAGCCTATGCTTGAAAACTTTAAATTTCACTGGAAAAAGTAATTCCATGGTTGTTGATGCCTCAGTCTCAGTTATCTGAGAGGTTGAGACAGGGGCATTACTGGGACCTGAAGGTTCAAGAGCTCCCTGGGCCTATCTCAGAAAAAGTCTGCTAATCATTCTGAGCAGTAATCTTGGCATCATTACTGTTTGCTGATAAAGGAGTTTTGACCAAAAAGGAAACAAACAAGAAAAAATGTGTATCCAGACAGTTTGTTCTGCCTTTGTGTAATTGTTTTAAATCTTTTGAAGAAGACAAAAAAAAAAAACTTCTATGGCATTTACTCTCATTTTTAATGTTAAGCCTCTGGGTATGTGGGATTTAGTAATAAATGTCATTACAGCCATGTCTTTAGTAGAAGTGAGGACCTCAAGTCATTGCTTAAAATAGAAGGTGATGATGTGTACATGGATGGGTGGGGCAGATGGATAGATATGAAAGAGTGAGTAGGTGGATGAAATATTATGTGGAGATGGACAGATAGATGTGTGTGTGTCAGTGGATGGATGGATGGATAGATGGGTGGATGAATGGATGATAAATGGATGGATGGATGGATGGATGGATGGATGGATGGATGGATGGATGGGTGGATGGGTAGATGGGTGGATGGATGGGTGGATGGGTGGATGGATAGATGGGTGGATGAATGGATGATAAATGAGTAGATGGATTGATGGATGGATGGATGGGTGGATGGGTGGATGAATGGATGATAAATGAATAGATGGATGGATAAATGGGCAGATGGATGCTTAGATGATGGATGGATGGATGGATGCTTAGATGATGGATGGATGGATGGATGGATGGATGGATGATAGATGAATGGATGGTTAGTTGAATGGATGGAAGAAAATGTTGATAATATAAATGGACAGACAGGTAGGTAGATGTTGGATTAGTGAGTTAGTGGATAGATGGTGGAAGGAAGAATTTGTATATGGATTAATGAGTGGAGAGGGGGAGGAAAGAAAAGGGTGAGAGGGGAGAGAAAAAGAGGGGTAGAGAGAGACATCCATGCCATGCCTTGGAGCTCCTGGGGAGGCACCATCTAGGATAACTGAGGTCACCAGAAACTCTGTGTGGGTCACAGGCAGCCTGTGATGTGTTCTGTGTTGGGGATGACGTCAACATCGAGAAGGCAAACAATTCCCTCATCAGCAACGACCGCAGCTGGAAGAGGAATAAGTTCCGCCTCACCTATGTGGCTGAAGCTCCAGAGCTGACACAAGGTACCTGATAATGGGAGGGTTGGGCTGGAGAGCTCCTCTCAAGGGTGTATGGGAGTGGTGGCTTTCACTCTGGTCCCCTTTCAAAGAATCTCTTGAAGCACACAGGCCATACTTTTGTCCCCACGTGCAGGGTACTGTATAATCGGGAGTCTCTCTCCAGTCACACAGACTGCCTACAAACCATCCTCACCTCCGTTCCATCTACCTTGGCATTTGGTTCCATGTCTACACCCACCTCACCCAGCCCCACTGATATCTACCCCCACCCTCACCCTTTCCACTCCAGAGGAAGAGCTGGAAAGGGGTCAGAGGAGGTGGCTCACTTGGTAAAGGACAGGCTTCACAGACACCAGGACCTGCGTTGATTCCCCAGAATCCATGAAGGAGCCAGGCATGGTGGTGTATGCTTACAGTCCCAGCACTGGGAAAGAGGAAACCAGAGAACCTTGGGGTTCACTAGCCAGTCAGCCTAGCCAAACTGGCCAGCTCCAGGCCAGAGAGAAACTTTGTCTCAGAAGATAAGTTTATACATTACCTAAACTATGACAGCTCAGGGTCCTCTAGCCTCTACATACACATATACACAAACACATGTACCTGCATACACACTGGCACATGCAGACATTCATGCACACACACATACCCAAGGGTGGAGAGGTTTTGTGGAGCTTTGTTTAAACCCCTCTTATGGTGGCCATTATTTCTCTCCTCACAGGTCTTTCCAATGTGCACAAAAAGCGAGTCTCAGCTGCTCGATTCCTTAGCCGCCAAAACCTGCAAAGCCCCAAGTCCAGGTAGGAACACCCGCTCAGCAGCAATCCCTTCCACTTCCAGGAAGGAGAACTCAGATTCCAGAGACCGTCAAAAGCTCCCGGAGCCCCTCACACCAGGTCCTCGGACTCCTGCCTTTATGTTCCCATGTCCCCAACTAGAGACAGGGACGAAGGAGAAGTGTCAATCATATATAATGCTGAGAAAGAAATGGGCCTCAGGGTGAGCTTTGGCAGGCTGCCCCCTTGTGAAGTAGCGGAGTAGTCTCTGTAGGCAGTATGTCCATCCGAAAGTGCTCAATCCAATACTATGAGTGATTGTTTGCTAGAGCAATGTTTCTCAACCTGTGGGTCATGACCCCTTTGGGGAATCCAATGACCCTCCATGGGGGGGGGTCACCTAAGACCACTGGAAAACACAGCTGTTTACATTACAATTCATAACAGTAGCAAAATTAATGGTAGCAACAAAAATAATTTTAGGATTAAGGGTCACACTAGGAAAGTTGAGAACCACTGCTCTAGAGAGCTGCAAAAATAGCTACTTGTACTGTGGAGTGATGGCAGGCACACCCCCAAATAGCTTACTCTTTGATTTGAAACCCTATCTATAATATATTATCTGTGGAGGGGGGTGGCTGTGTGCCACCATATGCCTAGGGAGATCAGAGGCCAACCTTTGAGTGCCCATCCTTACGTCCCACCTCATTTGTGACAGGGACTCTTCACAGCTTTACAAGCCCAACGTGGCCCGTGGAGCTTCTGCGAACCCTCCTGTCCCTTCCTATGGGTGCTGGGCTTTTCAGGCATGCTCGCTCTGCATTTGGCTTTTTGTTGTTGCTCATGTGTGTGTGTTGGGGGTGGGGAGGTATGGCTTGCCAAGACCGGGAGAGTGTCTGATGCCCTCAAACTGGAGTTACAGGTGATTGTGAGCCACCGTGTGGATGCTGGGAACTACACCCGGCTCCTCTGCCATGGCTGCCAGTGCTCTTAACCACTTTGCTGTTTCTCCAGCGCTATGAACCCTTTTACATAAGCTGTAGAGAGCTGGACTCGGGTCTTTAGTCTTGTGCCATAAATGTTTTCACCCCATGAGCTATCTCCCCAGCCCTAGAAATTATCTTACTGCCCAGCATAGCCAAATAATTTACTCTCTGCTATAGCCAAACACCTTGCTATCTGATAGAGGATGTTTGTTTTAGCACTTGGAGCAGGGGCAGGGGGATTGGTGAGGCTTTTGTTTTATGCAATGCTGGGGCTTGAACCTGGGATCTTACACACACTAGGTGAGTGCTGGACTAGTGAACTGCATTTTGAATCTTAGCACTTGACTTAAAACACAGTTATCTTAGCCAGGCGGTGGTGGCACGCGCCTTTAATCCCAGCACTCGGGAGGCAGAGGCAGGTGAATTCCTGTGAGTTCTAGGCTAGCCCGGTCTACAAGAGCTAGTTTCAGGACAGCTAAGACTGTTACACAGGGAAACCCTGTCTCGAAAAACCAAGATAAATAAATAAATAAATAAATAAATAAATAAATAAATAAGAACCACACAGTTCGCTTAGCTGGGCAGTGGTGGAGCACACCTTTAATCCCAGTACTTGGGAGGCAGAGGCAGGCGAACCTCTGTGAGTTCAAAGCCAACTTAGTCTATAAGAGCTAATTCCAGGACATGCTCCAAAGCTATAGAGAATCCCTGTCTCGAAAAACCAAAACACAAAAACAGTTAGCTTTTTCAGCAACACCCAAAAAAAATCATTTTTCCCTCCCAAGAGACTTACATGACCAAGGACACTGACCCATATCCTTTGGGTGCCTTTGCTTCCAAGCTGTTTTCCTAAGACCCAGCTTCCGGAGCCTCAGGCTTTAACCACCTTACTCCTCCACTGGAAATATCACTCCCAGACCTCAGCAGCAGAGGTCACATGATCACCAACAACAATTGTGTCGGGCCAGTTACCGCCATCACCAGCCCGAACAGGACGTGCCGATGTCACCTGTCCTGCAACACTGTCCTCATGGCCCACCCACCCGTCCACCAAGCCTGTGTCCTCACTGAGCACAGGCACCTCTCTTTTCAGAAGCACAGGCTGGCTGCCACTCTGCAACTATAATAATTAAGTCTTTGAGCTGATCCCTCTTGGGATTTATTTTTTTCATCTTTCAGTTACAGCTGAGGTGTGTCTCCTAAATTCTTTATCCTTTGCAGTCCTAGGCACTGACCCCAGTTCTCCAACACATTTCCCGTGCAGCCTTGGGAAAGTCACAGGGTGTGGAACTGAGAGCTGGAGAGGTGACCCAGTGACTAAAAGCACTGGCTGCTCTTGCAGAGGACCCTGGTTCGGTTCCCAGCACCCACATGGTTGCTCACAACCATCTGTAACTCCAGTTCCAGGATATGTGGCTCCCTCTTTTGGTTGCCATGGGTAGCAGTGAACACACATACATTCAAAACATTCATAGACAAAATGAAAATAAATGCATTTCTTAAAAAGCCACTGGGATGCTCTGAGGTCCTTTCTCCCTCGCTATAGCACGGAACCGCTGACAGCAAGCTTGCTCACTTGTATATGATACTCTCTGTCTTCCATGCACCGAGCAGAGCTCCCTGAATGCTATTTCTAACTCACACCAGTCCAGGAAATAAAGGTCACAATTGTTCACATGTTAGATATGAGAAGTAACCAAGAGAAAATGCAAGTGTCTTTTTTCAAGGTCACACTGACCTGATTATCTGGCCACCACACCAAATGACTCCACAGATGGTCTCCGTCTCATTTGCCAGGCTGCTGTGACCATTGAAAATGATCCTCCTAAAGCGGCTAGCACAGTATAGGATCCATTGTTCCTCCCCGTCTCCTCATGCTACCTGCATAGTTAGCATGCATGCTTCCTGCGTGCCCTTCGGAGCCTTTGATTAGAGAGGTCAGCAGGGCAGAACCTCTCAATATTCTCAGACATTAATAGAATAGATCAGGCACTTGGTATCTTTGAACAGTTAGTTCCATGCAGCATTAGATGCATAGGGACATCTGACGGAGAGGGGCTGTGGAAAAGCCGTACCTGATGTCCCCACTCTATCCCATGGAAAGTCACCACTGACATGGTGTTACAAGAGGGGTTCTAAGTGCACCAAGGAGCCATGCGCATTGAAGAGTCCATGAAAAGCCAGTGTGGAGTGGGTCCTCCCAAGAGCATGGTCCTCAGGCATGTCGCCTTGGAATCTGCTGCTGTCTACCACCCGGAAGGACCCAACTCTGGCAGAGTTTCCAAGATTAACAAAGGAATTTGCCAAGCAAGGTTAGGAACTGGAATAGAGTTAAAAGAGTTATGAACTAGCAGACCAAACTGTGCCTAAGGGGTTAGGGGACTGGAGCAATGGGCCAGTGGTTAAGAGCCCTGGATGCTCTTCTAGAGGACTTGGGTTCAATGCCCAGCACCCGCATGGTGGCTCACAACCACCTATAATTCCAGTTCCAGGGGATCTGATGCCCTCTTTCGGGCCTTTGTGGGCCCAGACAAGCATGGTGCACAAATGTACATGCAGGAAAAACACCCATACACATGCATGTAAAATAAACACCCATACACACACACGTAAAATAAACACCCATACACATACACATAAAATAAAAATAACTAAATATATTTTTAAAAGATAACGCTTTATAGAATTTTTTAAGTATAATTGAGTGGAAAAGCATAACTCACCCACTTTCCCAGGCCAAGGCCAAAGAGGGAGCCTCTCTGGCCTAGGAAAACATCACAAACTATTCCCACTAGTAATCCTGAATTACAGGTACGGTGCCAAAGAGGAAGGAAGTGTCCTTTGGCGTGTGACCCATGCAGAGTGACCTTCCTCGGCATCCTGCTTGGAAACAAATTTTGTGATGCAGGCACAGTAATTAGGAAAAGCAGTGTGTAGGAGGGTGTAATGGGGTGAGTGTGGGCAGGATAGAAACGGAAAATTCTAGAAGTCAAGGGGAGGGGCGAGACTGAAGGACTGGGATTGGTTGGTAAGGAGGGTGGGATTCCCAGAAGAAAAGTGAGAAGATGCCTAGAAAGGGAAGCGTGAACTCGAGGGCACGAAGGGAATCTTCGACGGACATGGATAGAGCGATCTCTATGTCCGTGTGGGATGCACACGTTTGTGCATGTGTGGACACGTGTATAGAGGCCCGAGGTGACAGGTGGAATCTCCTCAGTTACTTTCAACCTTAGTTTTTTAGAAAGGCTCTCACTGAACCTGGAGGTCACCGACCGATACAACTGGACTGCTGACCTGTGAGCCCCAGGCCCCTCCTCTCCAGCTGCGGGATTATAGGCGCACGCCGCCTCTGTGATTTTTACTTGCGACTGGGAATCCGAACACAGGCTCTCTGCTTGGGGGGACAAGCACGTTTACTACAGAGCATTTCTCTAGCCTGAGATTCTGTATGTTTTTGAGATAAAGTAGCCCAAGAGATCTTTTTTAAAGTGCTAATTGAAGTAGAGGCACTACTCTCTCCCCCACTTCACAGCCCACAGTGTTTCCTGCAGATCAAAGGGGATTCTCTGAAATCTTTGCCTGGTCAGTCATGAAGAGGTCCTTAGCATCACACAGGTCATGAAGAGGCCCCTGGGACCCACCTATCACCTCTCTCAAACTCTGCAGTCATGGCCAGACATGGTGGCACATGCCTTTTAGAGGACTGTGAGTTCCTGATGTGCCTAGCATGTATAGTTCAGAGCTAGCCTGGGCTACATAGTGCATTAGAAGGTAGGCTAGACAACCTAGCATAGCACCGTCAACATAAAATGAAGAAAGCACCGTTTCCGCTTTCCAAACGCGCTGTTCCCCTTTTCCGCCCTGGACTTCTGCTGACTCCCTCTCCTCGATCACCCTGCCCAGGGGGTCTCCGTGTGCTCAATCCGCATTATGTCAAAGAGCAGACCCCGAGCGACCACTGTCTCCCTTATACCACCCTCCCCTCTGCTGCCACATATCCACCGCCCTAACCCTGTGAGACCTTCCAGTGATTTCCAGTGAGGATAAGATGTCCCGCCCACTCTCCCCGCCCATCACTCACTCTCTCCCAAGGTGCCTAAAGCCGCATGAACCCATAGACAACTGCACCTTGTCGGGGCAGCCAGCTCAGGCTCTCCTTACCCTTCTGGCCGGATGGAGCTATTAGCTATTCGGATTTTTCTATCTGATGCGGGGTGTCAGACAATTGTTGTCTTGCCGGTGACCCTACCTGAACCACTGCCATGAGTGTGTCTGCCTGTCTTTATGTGTCTATGTATGTGTCTGTGTGTGTCTTTGCGTGTGCACACATGTGTCTGCATGTGCTTCTATCTGCCTGTGTGTCTGAGTACATGTAAGCGACACTTCTGTATGTGAAAGAAATGGGCGGGACACGGGACGGGCTGTGAGGAGAGAGGAACACAAGGCCTGAATGGCGACTGTTTCCTACATGGCCCGTCTCTCCCACAGCTGCTCAGCAGACCACGTGAGGCGTGCCTCACATCTGTAATCTTAGCACTTGGGAGGCTGAGGTGAGCATTCAAAGCCAGCCTGAACTACAGTGACGAAGACAGGAGGAGGAGGGAATGAAGGAAGAAAGGAAAAGAAAAAAAATCTCTATCCCAGAGCTTAATGAACGTAGAAAAAAAACGCAACAGAATTGAGGGAGACAGTAATTGATATTAGCCAGTGGAACTCAACTTCACAGCAAAATGTCGAGGATTGTCCACCCAGGTTCCCTGGGCACCCAGTTACGTCATCCTGTGCAAAATCCCAGATGGGACGGAACCTGGACCCACCTTCCACGCACCTGCTGGCCACATTCCGTCCCTATCCTGTCCCTCCTTTACTGTCCAATTGCCTGCAGGGTTAGGAGGCCTGGGGGAAGCAGGTGAGAGTCAGCCAGCTCAGCAGAATCAGGCCCTTGGCCTTCCCCATTGGGAACAAGTCCTGATGCAGAGAAGAAATTGGGTGTTGATTTGAAATGAAAGCCTTTCCAAGACTTACTCTGCTTGAGCAACAGGCTCCTGAATTAGAAGCCTTGCAGCGCCCCCTGCTGGCTAGTGGCTGCTGTCACGCTCTTCCCGTCACCAGTGAAAGCTATGGTGGTGGTGGTGTCTTTGCTCCTAGGAACTAAATGCTGATGTGAGTTAGAGATTAAAAACAAGTCCTATGAGCTGCTGAAACTGACAGGCTCAGCATCCCAGAGAGGGTAAGACCCTCCTGGGAGAGGGAAGGGCATCCCAAACCCTAGGAACACACAGTTAATCTTCTCAAGGTCCCCCACCATACCACAGACAGAGTACCAGGCTTCAAGAGATGACTTCACACACTATCCACCCCACTTACACACAAAGATATGTGCCAGTTTAGCTATCTTTAATATCTGTGGCTATTCCTAGCACAAAGGGACTCTTGGTTGTGTCAAAAACATCCCTAAATAGCAAGGATTCTTGGTCTACTCAAGCGTGATTTACATGTGGAAGATGCGAGTTTCTCCCTCCACTGAGACCAGTTGGTGAAGGGAAAGAGCAATGTCTGGCGTTGAAGATGGTTGTGAGCCTCCAGGTGGGCGTTGGGAACCTAACCTAGGTCCTTTGCAAGAACAGCCAGTGCTTTTAACCACTGAGTCAGCTCCCCAGCCCCAAGAATTTATTCTTTTGGGTTTTTTAAAGTTTTATTTATTCTATGTGTGTGGATGTTTTGTCTGCATGTGTATCCATGTACCATAAATGTGTAGCACCCACAAGAGGGAATCCTTGTCCCTTTGAGCTGGAGTTTCAGATGGCTGTGAGCTGCCACGTGGAGTGCTGGGATTAAACCTAGGTCTTCTGCACAAACAGCAAGAGCTCTTGACCACAGAACCATTCTCCAGCCCCAAGACTTCATTCTTGAAGCAGCTGGTTAGTGTGAGCCCCCTGAACAGGAAACACACAAACCCAGGCAGGTATGAGCAGGTACACACTCATCCTCAAGCTAAGCATTCTCATACGCTGACGTGTCTACTCAGGAGAGGCCCCAAGCCTCTAGCCAGGCCTTCTTATACTGCAATAGGGACCTTGTTTGCAAAAGAGAGTAGAGGGCCAGCAAGAGGGCTCAGTGGATAAAGGTGCTTGCTGCCAAGCCTGACAACTGGAATTCAATTCTTTGTCTCATGATCCCTCTCGTTCCCTGCAGCCGATCAACCATCTTCGTGCGTCTCCACACCAACGGGAATCAGGAGCTGCAGTACCAGCCAGGCGACCACCTAGGTGTCTTCCCTGGCAACCACGAGGACCTCGTGAATGCGCTCATTGAGCGGCTGGAGGATGCACCGCCTGCCAACCACATGGTGAAGGTGGAGATGCTGGAGGAGAGGAACACAGCTCTGGGTGAGGGTCCAGCTGCACCCAATGGAAGGGCTGCAAGAGCCGCAGCTCCAAGTGGGCAGAGTAGCCGCCAGGGCATGGCAGCCTCTTGGTGAGGGCTCCCTATTTCACTTTAGTTGATGGATGGATCACCCATAGCCTCCTTCCCTCCTTCACTTTCTTCTTTCTTTCCGTTTCCTTCTCTTCCTCCCTCCCCCTTCTTGTTTCTAGTTTTCTCTCCTTCCCTTCCTTCCTTCGTCCTTTTCCTCTTCCCCTTCCTACTTCCTCCCTTCTTTCCTTTTTCTATGTAGACCAGGCTGACTTCAAACTTTCAATCCTCCTGCCTCAGCCTCCTAGGTACTAGGACCACAGACACAGCCTATCACACCTGGTTTGAAGAACCTTCAAAGCGGAGGGTCTCCAAGCTCCGCCTTCACTTTATAGATAGGGAATGGGCTCCAGGCGCCAGTACAAGGAGCTGTGGTGGCCATACCTGGCAGCCTGTGACAGCATGGCTGTCACCTTTGCAGGGGAGCTAACTAGAATGTGAAAATGGCATGCTGACTATCAAAGCCTTCCTGCAAATCTGCTTGGCAGGAGCCACTATGAAGAGACACGCCCCCCATTAGAGAATCTAATGGCATGTAGTTCTCTGTGTTAGACCAGGATTTCCATCATGTCTCAAGCTCACAATGAGGTAGGGGATCATGTTTGGAAGGTACACAGAATAGTCCTCCCACCATGGAGGAAGGGTTCCAGGACCCCTAGAAGATGCCAGAATCCATGCATACCCAAGTCCTTATGGAAAAGATGTTGTGTTTACGTAAACACCTACGCACACTGTCATATTTACATGCGCGTCCTCCTGTATACTTTAAACCCTCTCTAGATGGCTTACCCAGTGTGATATAAATGCCCTATAAACAGTCACCACACTATAGTGTTTACGGATAATGACAAGGAAAAAAGTGTACATTTCAGTACAGATAAAGTCTCTCTCTCTCTCTCTCTCTCTCTCTCTCTCTCTCTCTCTCTCTCTCTCTCTCTCTCTCTCCCTCTCTCCATTGCTTTCATTCCTCTGAAATGGACATGGAGAGCCAGGGGTACAGTGTAGTTAGAGCCAGGGGTGAGGCTAGAAGGCCTGCCTTTGCACCCGAAAAGCTGTGTGGCCCTTAGACAAATTCCTTTACTTCTCTGTGCTTCCTCTTCCGCACCTGGGGTGATGAGTGTGGTGAGGATTAGGTGACCTGAGCATCGTCCCCCCTGTGCCTCCCCAGGTGTCATCAGCAATTGGAAGGATGAGCCTCGCCTTCCACCCTGCACCATCTTCCAGGCCTTCAAGTACTACCTGGACATCACCACGCCACCCACGCCCCTGCAGCTGCAGCAGTTCGCCTCCCTGGCCACCAGCAAGAAAGAGAAGCAGCGGCTGCTGGTCCTCAGCAAGGTTGGTCCCGGGTCTTGGAAAAGCAATGAATATGCTCTTCCAACTTTTCACAGCAGATGGCAGTCTGAGTAAGAGGGCGTGGCCTCATTTGCATATGGTCGCCATATTGGTTTGTCCCTTCTGACTCCCAGATCTCAAGCCTGGTAAATTGAAAGGGACCCTTCCTGAAACTCAGCAGGCATTGCTATAATAACTCTTACTGCCTTCCTTTGTGGTTTTGAGCTCTTGTGGGTGCCAGCTTAACCCATGCATGGAAGCAAAGGTAGCAGAGATCCTCACAGCGGGTTTACAGATAGGGGTTTGATTCTGGTGGTAGTAACAGTGGTATATTCTGGTCCAGAATAGCTAAAAAAAAAAAAAAAAAAAAGTTGCTAGAAAAGAGACAAGAGACTTCTGCTGATCCTGGTGATCAGAGGAACCCAGCAGCTTTACCATCCTTGCCTAGATACCACAAAGGTCCCTACCCAAGATGCTCTCTGTCCTTGCTCAGTAGGGCACCTAAGGCTGGGGATGTGGCCCAGTGGGTAGAGCTCCTTCCAAGCACACAGGAAGTCCTGGGTTTAATCCCCAGTACCACATGAACTAGACGTGAACTAGACCAAGGAGGCAGGAGGGGATCAGGAGTTCAAGGTCATCTTCACCTACACAGAGAATTCAGCACCAGCCTGGAATGACTGAGACTTGTCAAAAAAACAAAAACAGGGCTTGCAAGATGGCTCAGTGGATAAAGGCACCTGCTGACAACCTAGGCTCAGTTCAGTCCCCTGGGCCCACATGGCGGAAGGAGAAGTTCCTCCTGAAAACTGCCCTCTGAATTCTACTTGTATGTGCACATACACTTATACTCTCACACTCAGACACACTCCCTCCTGTGCACAAAACATAAGAGATGAAGAGATGTCTCAACCCTTTAGAGCACTGGCTGTTCTTGCAGAGGACCCGAGGACCAGGGTTTTATTCCCAGAACCCACATGGCAACTCATAACCCCAGTTCCATGGAATCAGATAACCTCTTCTGACCTTTGGAATCACCAGGCACACTCATGGTACACACACACACACACACACACACACTCAGGAAGAACATTCAGACACATAAAATAAATCTAAAATCTTTTGCTGTTGTTGTTTTGTTTTTCGAGACAGGGTTTCTCTGTAGCTTTGGTGCCTGTCCTGGAACTAGCTCTTGTAGACCAGGCTGGCCTCGAACTCACAGAGATCCACCTGCCTCTGCCTCCCGAGTTCTGGGACCACCTCCTGGCTTAAATCGAAAAATTTAAAACTAATATAATTTAAAATAAAGACACCTACCTACTCAGGTAGACCACCCAACCCCAGTGTTTCCAGGAAGGGGGTGGTCTCCTTCCAAGGAAGCAGCCCCCCCCCCCCCGGCAGAGGCCATTTCTTTTGCTATCCAAGAATGTGGACTGGGTGGTGAGTAGCAAGAGGGAGGCTCATTAGCAAGTGCACATTATCGAGAAAAGTGAAAATAAACACCAGAAGGCAGCGAGGACTCCGAATGGGGAGCAGGAGACAGATGGCCGTGGTAGAACGGGTGGCCGTCATTTTGCATCCTAAGCTTAGCAGGATTTTATAACTTTTAGAAGATGTATAATTTGGACTGGAAACTTGTGATTAATGGTGGCGGGGGTGAGTATGACGGGGGAACATTTTGCATAGTATTCTTTGAAAGAGAGTTTCATATAAAGTTCATTTCTTCCGGAAAGCACAGAGTCTCCAAGACAAGTGAGTGGAATTTTATTATTGTTGTTGTTGTTGTTATCAGAAAGAAATACCTGTGAGAGAGAAAATAGGCTGGGAGGTAGAGGGGGCTGGGAGGGAATGGTCAGACTGCAAAACAAAGCAGACCCCAGAGAAGAAGGAAAGGAGCAAGGTCAGATGGAAGTGTACCACTTGCAATGTGGTTTCTGAAAAATTCCCATGGCCCTTGGGGGTTCCTAGAGCCAAAGTCATGGCTCCCTAGAAAGAGTCACCTTGGCATCTGTCCTGAGCTTGAACATCCTGCAGGAATCCATGCCCAGCCATAGCACAGCTGCCAAATGCGGTTCAGGTAGAGGTCACTCCGAGGAAGTCAGTGTTAGATGCATGCCCGTTCAGAGTCTTCCCCTGGAGGCTCTCGGTCACGACACCTCTGATGTTTTGAATCTGAAACGTGGGGCTGGAGAGTTTGTTCAGCTGTTCAGAGAACTTGCCACTCTTCTAGAGGACCCAAGTTTGGTTCCCAGCACCGACATCAGGTGGCTTACAATTGTCTGTTAACTCCAGGTCCAGGAGATTAGGGCCTCTGGCCTCAGCTGAAACCTGCCCTCAAGTGCACATACTCCCATGTAGACACACACACACGCACATGCACACACACACACACACACACACACACACACACACGCTCCTCCTTGGTCCACTGCTGGGCGCACTGTTTGAAAACACTATGAAACTTTTAACGAGCAGGGCCTCCCTAGAAGAAGTGGGTTGTTAGGGATGAGTCTTGGTCTTAGAGCCCAGTTCCATGTCCCCATGTATCCTCTGCCTCACTCCTGCTGCGTGTGTGTAAAGGGATGGCCGCCTCCTATTCCTGCAGTCCCTCATCCACCATGATTGGCTGTGTCTCCTTGAATCGTAATCCAAAACAAATCCACCTTCTTTAGGCTGCTTCTCACTGGGGCTTCAGACCCAGCAGTAAGACAAGTGAGTGAGGCCGCCTGCAGCAGCTGGAGGCCAATGGGGCTCAGCATTGGAAATGGGGCAGGGACCCTGATTGATCTTGGGCTGACGAGGGAGGGGGACTTTTTTGGGGGAGGGGGAGGGAAATGGGAGGCAGTGGCAGGGAAGAGACAGAAATCTTCAATAAATTAATTAATTAATTAAAAAAAAAACACCTGGAGAGGCAGCTCAGCATTTAAGGAACTTGCTGTTCCTGCAAAGACTGGTTTAATGCTTAGCATCCACAGAAGGTGGCTCACCACTGTCTGTAATTCCAGCTCCAGGGAATCTGACGCCCTCTTCTGGCCTCTGCAAGCACTCACACACAGACACACAGACACGTGCACACACATACACGCACACACATGTACACAAAGATTCAGAGACACATACACACAAATAAAAATTTAAAGTAAATCTTTTTAAACGTAGAAACAATTCTTACCTCACAGGCCACACAAACGTGGCAGCTGTGGATCTGTGTGCCAGCTAGAGGTGGCCGTTCCTGACTCAGACACAAGGCCTAGTCCTAGCTTACCAGGACTCTCTGTCTCTGTAACCTCATCTGTGAGATGGGATGATAATAAGCCATTGCTGCAGGGTGAGTGTTTATGGCCCCTAGACTTCTCACATCAAAATTAACTCCCTCAGTTAGATTGGGTGTGTCACTTATCAGGGGGTGACATCAAGAGGTAGGGATGGGGTTGGGGGGTACAGCTTGATAGCTGGAGGCTATAGTCATGCGCACAAGGCTCTGAATTCAGTCACAAGGACTGGTTGCTGCAAGGGGGGGCAGAGAGAGAAGGGAGAGGGAGGGAGGCAGGAAGGGAAGGAGAGGGAGGGAAAGAAAAGGAAGAGAGGGAAGAATGAAGGAGAGAAGGAGGGAGGGAGGGAGAGAGGGAGGGAAAGAGGGAAAAAAGGAGGTAGGAAGGAAGGGGAGGAAAGAAAGAAAGAAAGAAAGAAAGAAAGAAAGAAAGAAAGAAAGAAAGAAAGAGGAAGCAAGGAGGAAGGGAGGAGAGAGGGGAGAGGCTTTTGCAAGGCAGTTGCATCAAGGACCCTACCCTCATAGGCCAGATAGACATTTTTATAAAAAGAAGCCAGGAAATCTGCTTCTCCCTTCTGCCACATGTAGACACGTAGGCACCACCTGGATCTACATGATCTTCAGGATCTACACCAAAGTAGATTCTCCCCAGACACCAAATCTGCTGGTCCCCAAACCACAAACCTCCAGGACATGAGTGATAGATTTCTACTGAACAAATTAACCATCCTGGGGTATTGGTATTTCAGAATAGCTATGGCCATCTCTGTGACCAAATGCCCAATAATAGGCAACTAAAGCAAGAGAGGCCACGGAGAGGGAAGGTATAGCCACAGTCAGACGAGGCAGCTGGTCACATTGCAACAGCAGTCAGGAAGCAGAGTCAACAGGAAGTGGATTAGGCTATAAAAGCTGAAGGCCCGCCCTCAGTGACTCACTTCCTCCAGCTAGGCTCTACCTCTAAAGATTCTGTAACTTTCCAAAGCAGCACTGCCAACTGAGACCCAAGTGTCCAAACACAGCCTGTGGGGGACACTTCACACTTGAACCACTACCGTAAGAGAGGCTCTATTTGAAAGCCCGAGCTGCCTAGCCCCACTGTAGGTACGGAATAGCCTCAGGTCAGCTCACGGCTCCCCTGGTCTTCCTCCAGGCCCCACCGACTCAAGCCCCTCTCTGTCCTCTCCTCACAGGGGCTGCAGGAATATGAGGAGTGGAAATGGGGCAAGAACCCCACTATTGTGGAGGTGCTGGAGGAGTTCCCGTCCATCCAGATGCCAGCCACACTTCTCCTCACCCAGCTGTCCCTGCTGCAGCCTCGCTACTATTCCATCAGCTCCTCCCCAGACATGTACCCCGACGAAGTGCACCTCACTGTGGCCATTGTCTCCTACCACACTCGAGGTGCGTACCTGGGGAAGCTCTAGCTGGGGGATTCCTGAATCTGCATTTCCCCTCAAGGTATCTGGAGGTCTCTCCTTGAACAACCTGTGGATCCGATCCCCAATTCTTACAGGACACTGCCAGCCAAGCCCATGGAACGGAGTGTGTCCCATAGCTGAGCTAACCCTGAATATGGTTAGGAATAGGCAAGGTGTGTGTCTGGGGTGGTCACCTAGGCCTCCTCTCACCCAGTCCACCCTGCCGGGCAGCACTCTCAGGAGCATCACACAGGCCTGTCTGGAGCTAAATAGCACAGACCCCGCTGTGATGTTTCCCCCCTTGCGATCAAGCCCCTGAAGTGCACTGTGCCTAGAGTCTCTGAGACAGGATGAACAAGCCATTCAGAACACCCTGACCCAGGTCCTCTGAGTATTCACACCCAGACCGATCCAAACCCTATGTACTTGCACACTCAACTCACTCTGAGTGTACCAGCTCCTCCTCCCCTTCAGAGCAGGGACCCAGGTCTGGAACTCCGAGGCACAACCCTTGGCATTGAGCTGGGAGATACTTCACTGCGGGTGAGGGCTGGGGCTGGGACTGTAGGAGTGAGACAATGCATGACATGTTGGTCTGAACCACCTGCTCATTCTGTTAGATGGGGAAGGACCCATTCACCACGGCGTGTGCTCCTCCTGGCTCAACCGGATACAGGCTGATGACGTAGTCCCCTGCTTCGTGAGAGGGTGAGTGACAGATGAGGAGAGGCGCAAGGCCATCTCCTATCAGCACGTTGGTCCCGTGCATTAGGATACATGAAGGTTCAGCCTGAAGGGCTCTAGATAGATGGCCGGAGGGGCAGGGTTAGCACCAATGTCTGCATCATTTCCAGTCGCTAGGGAGACAGGATCAAGGGACACACATCCAGCTGGGTATCTGGGTAATAAATACTTATACAAGACCATGAGAAGGGGGTCTCGACCTTTAGTGGGCAATCTATCCTTGATGATGTGGTAACCCGAAATGTCTTCAGACATCATAAGGTATCCCTGAGGTGGTAGGCAGAGGGCGAAAGACACACCAGGTTGATTTTTTTTTCTTTTTATGCACCAGTATGTGTGTGTGATTTTGTGAGTGTGGCACACACATGGAGACCACAGGACAACCTCCATGGGTCACTTCTCCCCTTCCACTTTTACATAGGTCCTGGGAATCGAACTCAGACCCAGGCAAGCTTTGTTTATTAAAACACAAATAAAGTATCACTATATTTCCCCTTTTTGTCATAATATAAGAAAAACCATATACACTAAGTACAATTACCATATACAATAGGTACATCAACAGTGTCTAGTTCATTTGCATCACAGATTCAGAGGAAATACCCTATATCCTGTCTTGGTGAGTCCAAAGTGTTGTACCTAATTTACTTTCCCATCACAACTTGCGTGACCATCCAAAACTATCTTTTGAGATCTCTCAACCTTATACACTTTACACTTCTTTAGTGGATGTCCTTTCTGAGTCTCGTAAACAAGGAAAGCCATGGCAGGCTTGCACAGGATGTGTTTGACCCACTGAACCATCTCGATGGCTCCGCGTCTGTTTTTCTTTCTGGTTCTCACTCCGGTTTCTCAGAGATTGGGATGTACTAAACACCCCCATCTAGAGATTTCCCCATTTTAAGAATGGTCCTGAGCTGGGACCCTTACCTCATATACAGCTCTTTCATCAATGGAAACTCTGATCCAACGCCTACTGTCCACATCAGAGTCTCAGAGAGTCGTGCGTAAAGCAAGAGTCTTAAAGCGCAGCCTGACCACATAGCCGGGGCACGTCCATGTAAGCACCCCCAGGTAGTTCATTCCGGCACTGGTGTCTGCGACCCCCTGATTAAAGACCTCGTGGATGACTGAGGACTGCTTCTCAAGAGTGGAAGAGAAAGCTGAAATCAGGGCCTGGGGCAATGGCTCAGTGCTGTTTTACAGGTGTAAGGATCTGAACCCAAATCCCAGCACCGTCTTAAAAGCCAGGCAGGGTGACTCATACCTGGGGAGGCAGAGACAGGCAGGTGACAGGCAGGTTCACAGAGCTTAGTGGCAGCCTCTGAATCGGGGAACTCCAGGTTCCATGGGAAAACCTGGCTCAAAAAGTAAAGTGGAAAATGATAGAAAGACATTCGATGTTGACATCCGACATCCACATGTGCACATAAACATACACACATACATGTATGCACACAAACATATACATGCACGTGCACACACATACACAAGCCCACACGCGCATACACATCTGCGCACACACACGCACATATACTCACACACACATACACATGCACATAAACTCACACACAGTTGAAATTTTAACTTAAAATTCAATCCAGGGTGATTTTCTCCCTCTGTCTACCACCCTGGGGACATTTGTTGATGTCCAAGGATGTTTTTGACAGTCATCACTCCAGAGTTATTCCTGACATCAACTTGGTAGGAGCCCAGGGTGGTGCTTGAACTCCCACAATGCATACAATAGCTCCCCAACAAAGGGGTGCCCACTCTCAAAGCCAGAACACAGAGGAAGTCCAAGTTAGCTCAGGCCTCTTGTCCTTGGGGCTTATCCTGACGCTAAGTGATGGGAATGGAGGAAGAGGCAAGCTCCAGCAAACTCACTTTTAAATCACTCTGCTAGTTCTCACGCTAAAGGGGCCCACGGTCCCACTAAGGAACAGACAACTCTCTAAGATGGCTGCCTGGGATACCATAGGCTCCAACATGGAGCAGCACACAGTGAAGCTTCTGTCTTTTCTACCCAGTGCCCCTAGCTTCCACCTGCCTCGAAATCCCCAGGTCCCTTGCATCCTGGTTGGCCCAGGCACCGGCATCGCACCCTTCCGAAGCTTCTGGCAACAGCGACAATTCGACATTCAACACAAAGGTATATATGGACCAGGGGCCACTGACTTCTGACTTGAGAGAGACGGGAGGGCCCCTGCTTCACCTCACTGTCTGAGGAGGGGAAAGGAGGGGTTGGAGGGGTTGCCATACCAATGTGGCCACAGGTGCAGTTTGAACAGCCCACCCAAACTGACCTGCTCCACAGCCTGTCCCAGGAGCCTGAAATCTCATCTCCAGCGGGCATTTCCTTGGCTTAAGAGTTGATCCTAAAAGCCTAATATGCCACCAAGGATAGGCACGCATCCTTGTCGAATGGATTTGAGCGTGTGACTACCTCGTGAACCACCACAAGAACAGGCCTTGCCGAGTGAGATAAGTTCAGGTTTGGAAAAAGGAGAGAAAAGATCCCAGTTGCAGAGGCATCAAGGAAGGAGTCCAGCTGTAGAAAACATGAGGACAGCACAAATGTAAAACCTGGACAGGCTGTGCGGGCACTGCCCTTAATCCCAGGGCTCCAAGGCAGAGGGATCTCTGTGAGTTCCAGGTCAGCCTGGTCTACATAGTTCCTGGCCAGAGAGGATTAATTTAAGTAAATAGATAAATGAAGGAAAAAAAGAAAGGAAGGAAGGAAGGAAGGAAGGAAGGAAGGAAGGAAGGAAGGAAGGAAGGAAGAGGGGGAGAAGAAAAAGGATGGAAGGGAGAGAGGGTGGGAAGGAGGGAGGAAAAAAGAAAGAGATAGAGAGAGAAAAAGGAAGGAAGGAAACAAATGCCCCACACAACTGTTTCCAACAGAACAGCGACCCCAGGAGGTGATTAGTGGTATTACCATCGCCCTACACACCCAGATCTGAATCTGATTCCCCAACTGCACATCAAATAATTGAAAAAAACATGGAGTCTGTATTGAACATCTACAGATTTTCCCCTTAAACAGTGCAGTATAACAATAGAGAGTTTACACTGCATCAATTGTTGTAAGTAGAGAGGTGAGTGGAGGCACAAAGGAAGACGTGTAGGGAGGGGTTCTAGAAAATGCTATGCTGTTTTATCTGAAGGACTGGGGCACCTGCAGATTTTCATACCCAGGGGATCCTGTAATCACCCTTTCCCTTGCATCCTGGGCGGTCACTTCTGGTTCCATTTTCACGTGGGGAAACTGAGGCTCTGAGAAAGAAGTGACTTGGCTCAGGGTCATACAGAGCCGGGACTCAGACCTGGGCCATCAGCCTCCAGTCTGGACACTGAGCATTTTCCAGTAGCAGGCTGCGAAGGAGTGAGACCAGGAAAGGATTGTTCCCTGTTCCCACAGGCTGTGCTTGTCTGTATGCGTGGGTGAAAACATGGGGGTGTGCCTGTGTGTTTAACCACCTGCCCCATGTATGTCACACTCTGAGTTTCTGGCACCCCAGTTCCTGTAGTTTAACCACTGCCTACTTGGGCATCAAAGCCATGTGTGATACGGGGTCTTCTGGGTCCCCAGGAATGAATCCCTGCCCCATGGTCCTGGTCTTTGGATGTCGACAATCCAAGATAGATCATATCTACAGAGAGGAGACCCTGCAGGCCAAGAACAAGGGTGTCTTCCGAGAGCTGTATACTGCCTATTCCCGGGAACCTGACAGGCCAAAGGTAAGCCAGGCACGCCCAGTGTGCGTGCATGAGTGTACTTATGCCTGTCAACACACACACGACAGGCCAAAGGTAAGCCGGCCACACCCAGTGTGTATGCATGAGTGTGCCTGTACATGGCAAAACACATGTGACAGGTCACAGGTAAGCCAGCCACCCCTGGCCACACCCAGTGTACACACATGATTTTATTTCCCACTTGAAACTCTCTAGAATCGCCCAGGAAAAGGGCTCAAAGAGGATTGTCTGGATTAGGTTGGCCTGTGGATGCGCTGGAGGGAGATTTCTTAATTGGGCTCATCAAAGTGGGTAGACTTGCTCTGAACGTAAACAGCACCGTTCATGGGTGGGACCTTTGGACCAAATGAAAAGGCGGGGGTGCCAGGAAGTGGTGGCACATGCCTTTAGTCCCAGCAATCGGGAAACAGAGGCAGGAGAATCTCTGAGTTTGAGGCCAGCCTGGTCTACAGAATGAGTTCCATGACAGGCTCCAAAGCTGCAGAGAAACCCTGTCTCAAAAAGCTGAAAGAAAAAAAGAAAGGAAAGGAAAGGAAAGGAAAGGAAAGGAAAGGAAAGGAAAGGAAAGGAAAGGAAAGGAAAGAGAAAGAAAGAAAGAAAGAAAGAAAGAAAGAAAGAAAGAAAGAAAGAAAGAAAGGAAGGAAGGAAGGAAAGAGGGAAGGAGGGAGGGAGAGAGAGAAAAGAAGGAAGGGAGGAAGGAAGGAAGGAAGGAAGGGAGGGAGGGAGGGAGGGAGGAAGGAAGGAAGGAAGGAAGGAAGGAAGGAAGGAAGGAAGGAAGGAAGGAAGAAAAAGGCAGGAGCAAACTGAGCATCATGCGTCCATTCCTCCCTGTCCTCGACTGTGAATGTGACTGGCCACTTCATGTTCCCACCGCTGTGATGTCCCCACAATGATGGACCTGAGCTAAAAATAAACCTTCTTCCCTCCTACCACCATTGCCGTAACAGCCAGCTTACTGTGGAGGTGGGGTGGAAGGCATGGAAGCCAGTAGCCCCGTTACCTTGCTCCATCCCTGACTTCCTGCCTGAGTGTCTCTGACCCGATGGCAGCCACCATCTTTCCTTGGGGAAAGGAAAAGATAACTAAGGCTTTTGTGTTTCAGTTACTTGTCTCACGGCTGTGACAAAATACTTGACAAAAGCCACTTCAGTAAGGGAGGTTTTGTGTGAGCTCACAGGAAGTACAGTCTGCAGTCCACCATGGCAAGGAGCCATTGCGGCAGGAGCCTAAGCCACATGGCCACCTGTGTAACTGAGAGCAGAGAGAGATGGAAAATGCTGGTACTCGCTTGCCTTCTCCTTAAGTCAGTCCAGAACCTGGCCTATGGAACAGTGCCACCCATGTTCAGAGTGGGCGTGCCCACCCACATTAATCCAGTCTAGAGACCCCCTCACAGACACCCAAAGCTTTTATCAAGCTGACAGTCAAAATGAACCATGCATGCTGGGGTGGTCCTCTCGGAGGTGACCTAGGGAGCCTCCTCCAGAGTGTCCTCAGCAGACAGCTCAAGCTGCCCCCGAGATTGGGATCAACTCACTACACAACGAGGTTTGGTCCCGTTGCACTCTTCCTGGTCCCTCATCCCATTTCCCTGAGGTTACCTCACAAAATATCCCCTACCCATAAGCCCCCACATCGCACTCTGCTTCCTCTGGGGCTGGGGAACAAGAGCCTCTTACAGCAGCCCCTTTCCTCTGGTCGTCCTCTTCTGCAGAAATACGTGCAGGACGTGCTGCAGGAGCAGCTGGCCGAGCCTGTGTACCGCGCCCTGAAGGAGCAAGGAGGCCACATCTATGTCTGTGGGGATGTCACCATGGCCGCCGATGTCCTCAAAGCCATCCAGCGCATAATGACGCAGCAGGGGAAGCTCTCAGAGGAGGATGCTGGTGTGTTCATCAGCAGACTGCGGGTGAGTGATAGCTGGCACCCAGGGGCCGGGAGTTTCCCCCTCGCCCAATCAGTGCCCTCACAACTAGGGCTGTACCCAGCCATAGCCCAGAGGGGATGCACAGCCAGGCACGCAGGCACATACACACAGTCTATCTGGTTTTAGGCTCTATATGTGAAAATGACCAGTGGGCGAGCCTGTGGGTAGTTACACAGATGCCGTCCCGACTCAGCGCTTCCCGACCCCCAAGCCAGGCTGCCCTCAGCCCCGTGCACTTGCATATGGTTGGCTCTAAACAAAAGGCTCGTCCAAAGGGGGCAGGTGGAAGCTGGAGTCCGGACCTCGTGCTTGATCACGAAACCATGTGCCTGGCATGGAGTACGCCCACCCTAGAGGAAGGGCACTGGAAGGCTAGGTTACAGCCTAGGACAGCTTCCCCAGCAGAGTCCCACCTTGTGACCACCGCCCCCCACCAAGCAGAGATTGAATCCCAGAGATGGTCCCACCCCACTACTGTCTTCTTAAATGAGAAGCAATCAAGTTTTCTCGTGGGGGGAGGAGGGGTGGAGCATGTCATGGTCCACGTGTGAAAGTCAGAGGACACCTTTCGGAGTTTTGTTTCCGAGTGTTCTTTCCTCCTGCCGCATGAATCTCGGGGATTCAAGCCATGTCAGCTGACTTTGTGGCAAGTGCCTTTACCTGCTGAACTCCCTCCCAGGCCCCAAGCAGTAACCAAACATGTTCTTAGAAGCTTTTCTCTAAACTTTATTCTAAACCCCAGTGAGGGGAAAGAGATTTCTGCTAGAAATGGCTCAGCAGGGAAAGTGCGTGCTGTACAAACTGAAAGACCTGGGTTCAAATCCCCGCACTTACACCACTGCCAGGTGGACATGGTGGCAAGCCTGTGGCCCCAGCACACACAGACAGCAGAGTTGGGGACTTCCAGAGCAAGCTGGCTATGAGACCAGCTGGACCAGTGAGCTCTAGGTTCCGGTGAGAGCCCCTGGCCCAGTCCATCAGTGGAAAGTGATCGAGAAAGATACCCAGTGCCCCCCTCTGGCCTTCACCCGTGTGCGTACACACACATGTACCCACATGGATACACAGGGAAGGAAAAAGGCATGCCAGCATAAGGGATGCTGTGGAGTCTGCCGCTCTCTTGGTGTTTGATATAGTCCCCTGGGAACACTTCATAGCTTCCCAGGAACTTTGCAGACTAGGGCAAAGAAACCTCCCCCACTCTTTCTAGATGTAGGCCCTGCTGCAGACCCAGGGTGCTGGAATTGAGTACATCATGGGCCATGGTGCAGAATCGGGGTGCTAGACCTGGGTTTATCGTGGGCCCTGCTAGCCCAAGTCAAGCTCCTGGCCACTGCTCTCATAAGCATTGAGATCAATATCTCCTCCTAACCACAAAGATGCCACTCTTAGAGACTATTCTTCTTAGGGCAGGAGAGATGGCTCAATGGTTAAGAACACTGTCTGCTCTTCCAGAGGAACTGGGTTCAATTCCCAGCACCTAGCTGGCAGCTCAAACTGTCTGTAACTCCAGTTCCAGGGGACCTGACACCTGCACTCCAAGATGCATAAAATAAAAATAAATAAGTTTTTAAAAAAGAATATTCTTCTTAACTTCCCAGTTGGCCCCTCACCTCTGCCAAGGGAGCTCCCATCACTTCTGAATCTGCCCCCTCCCCTAACCCCACTTTCTTTCTCCTATGCTGGAGATGAAACACAGGGTCTGTGCGTGCTGGGGAAGCCTGGACCATTTAGCTCCCCCACAACAACTTTTTTTTTCCTCTCCCATCGGCTGGTGCCATTAATCTGGGGCATTTCATACTTAGTTCAGCCTCGCTGGAATCTGAACTTACAGGGGAGAGTTGGAAGAAGGATCGAGAGTATTGGAGGCTTCCTTCTATGCTCGCAATCCTCAAGGTGCCCCCCCTTTTTGCAAAGGCTCACCCCATAGATTCTTTGCCGCCCAGCCTCAAGAGGCACAAAATGGCAGAGCCCTGCACACACACAGCCTTAGTCACCAAAGATACCCCAGGACCTTCAGCTCAGCCTCTGTCTTGTCTGGGTATACGTTCCTCCATGTATCACTCTGGCTGTTCCTCTCCAACCCCTTACCTGCCCTTTGATCCATCCCCTGGCTGTTTCTGTCCATAGGATGACAACCGGTACCATGAGGACATCTTTGGAGTCACCCTGCGAACATATGAAGTGACCAACCGCCTTCGATCTGAGTCCATTGCCTTCATTGAAGAGAGCAAAAAAGACACAGATGAGTAAGTCCTCTCCAGCCCCGGGGAGCGGGGCCGCAGTGGGCTGCAGCTGGGGCTTGACCGGGTTTCTCATGGGGTCGACAGGCCAAAATGCATAGCTGTGATCCTGCTGTTACCAGGGCAAAGGGTTACCCATTGGAGGTCAGCTTGAGGTACACGTGGGACCTCGTCTCAATAAAACAAAGGAGTGCACATCCCCAGGTGACCCCAATCCTGCTGAGTCTGGCATTCAAAAGTTAGGTCACAGTGGTTTGCAAGGTCTAGGGGTACCAAGGATCCAAAGTGTCAGAATTCTACCTGGCTACGGTGCCCCCTAGTGGAACCATGGTCTCCCCGCCAACAACTGTAACTCTTGATGCTCCCTGCCCCTGTCCCAGAAGTCACTGGAGACATTGTCATGGTTGCAAATTAAAATAGCCTCTAGAAGTTGCTGGAAACGGCCTGAAGCGTCATGAGGGTGGGATGGAATCTCACTATTTGAACCTTCCCTCCCAGCATGCAGCAGGAGGACCAGGGTGCTGAGCCTTCCTCATTCCCTTCCCTCAGATCTTCCCCTTCAAACAGGCAGAACTTTCTCCCAGTTGGCTCTTTCCCAGTCAGAAGGGCTGTTTCCGGAGACTTCTCACTGTTTCTCCTCCAGACAGCTTGGCTATCTCCAAACATTCCCTGTCCACGCAGCTTACACTTGTATTGCATGTGCACACATTCACACCTGTGAATCAGGTGCCTGCAGAGGCCAGAAGGGAGTGTTGGCTGGACCTGGAGCTAGAGGCAATTGTGAACTGCCTGCCACACGTGGGTGCTGGAAACCGAACTGGGTTCTCTGTCAGAGCAGTGAGAATTTTAAGCCACTAGGACATCTCTCCCACTCCTTCTGGTCTGTTTATTGTTTGTTTGGGGTTTGCTTTTCTGAGAGAGTCTGTGTAGCCCAGGCTAGCCTGAACTCGCCCTCCTGCGCTGCCTCTGTCACCCCCAGGTCACCTGAAGGAAGCTAAGGAGCCTGGCTTCTATGCCACTAACCCCCTCCCTCTCTCATCCAACAGGGTTTTCAGCTCCTAACTGGATCCTCCTGCCCCATGGGATGGTGGGGTGGCCACCCCAAGTGCCCAAGCTAGGGCGGCCACAGTTGACTAACCGCGGACACACATGGCTGAACCTTCCCCACGGGACCCCATGTGACCCACCCTGCCTTTTGTCCTGTTGCTGTGTCCTGGTCCTTCCTCCCACCCCACACTCCCAACCCTGGGTTTTCTCCTTGCCTCTTCTTCTGCAATGCATTGTCCCTGTACCCTGCAGTGGCTCTTACAAAACTACACCCTCCCTACCCGCTCGTTGCCAAGGGCAGGTTGTGGCGCATGAAACCACCGGGTCATGGCTGTCACTCCTGTTGGGGTCTGAAGGCAACTGGCACTGGGCTTCAGAGTCACCCTGAGCCAGTCCCTTGACCACTTCAGCACTGCCCGTGCGTGCGTGCGTGCGTGCGTGCGTGCGTGTGACAGGCCTAGGTCACTCTCTGTCCTCTTACCCGAGTCCTCTGCCTCCGTGAAGGATGTCCAGTGTCCACTGCCTTCGTGAAGGACGTTCAGTGTCATGAAACATGTTCCTAACTATTGTTAATCCCTCTCCATGTCCATCATGACAGATCTGTGTCAGCCTCTCTGAAACACATCAAGTCCCTTTACTAATCTAGTGAACCAATCACAGCGGGAGATAGGCAGGTGACGGAGAGGAGGTGAAGGAGTCAGTTTTTGAATTCAAGGTGTTCAGAGTCTGACCCCTGTCAGCAGAGGTCTGTCTGGGAGATTTACCCAGATGGTGAACTGGGCAAGCACCTCCCCTCCCCCACCCACCTCAGCTGGGGCCACCAGCCCTTGAGCTCCCTCCTTATACCTAGGCAGCCCCAGCTATGAGCCCAGCAGCCATGCTAAGCAAGGAAGCATGCTGGGAGTAGAGACTTCGCCACCAAGGAAGGGTGTGCCTAACTCTAAGTCTGCCCTTATTGAAGGAATGGAAGTGCCTCCCGGAGTGCTTTGGAGCCTGGAAGCAAACACCAAGGAAGAAGATAGCTGGTTTTTATTCCTCCAAATCGGCTTGCCTCCCACTTGGGAATAATTTCCTCTCCCACACCCCACCCCTAAAACGAGCAGCCATAGCCAGGGCAAGTTGGCCCTTCGAGGCAACTGTGTTCTGAGTCAGCAGGCCCAAGGGGTCGGCTCTGAGTCCCATGTTCTGTGCTTTTGTTTGGTTCTGTGATGCAGAAAAAACGAAACAAAAAATTTCCTCTACATCCTGAGCCAGGGCCTGGCTCTCTTGATGCTAAGTATTGGGGCTGCCATATAGAAAGTGCCAAGGACTTTACGGTTGTGGACCCAAACCTAAGAACGTCAATCCTTCCTTCCTTCCTTCCTTCCTTCCTTCCTTCCTTCCTTCCTTCCTTCCTTCCTTCCTTCCTTCCTTCCTTCCTTCCTTCCATTTTCCTAGACAGGGTCTACTGTTGCCCAGGCTGGCTTTGAACTCATGACCTTGAATTGCTAATCCTCTTGCCTCTACTTCCCTAGCTAGGATTACAGGCAACTACGTCCAGTTTACACTGTGCTGGGGAGGGGGAAGGGGGGTGTCAAGCCCACGATTTCCTGCACACCAGGCAAACACTTTACCAATTGATCAACATCCCCAGTCTTCAGTCTTCAACCCGAAATTCAGAGACAGGTCTCATGCTGCTCCGGACACCCCCACCACATCCCATCACTAGCATGTGGATTTGTCCCAGTTATCACCCCCTGGCCCCAGTTTCCCCCAGTAGCCTGGAGGCAAGGCAGCATCCTCTGACGGTCCCTCCAACACAGTTCCCACCACTTTCTTCCCAGGGACTTCCTTCTCAATCCTTCAAGCCTCTGTGAACACTTCCTAAGACTAGTCGATTCCCCAGATCTGAACGGCTATGCCCAACCTCCATCCGAGAGCCTTCTCTCTGCACGCCAGCTACATGCACGCCTGCATCGGCGATTTTTCCACCTCTGAATAAGGAGTGCTTACCATGTGACAGGCTCCTCCCCACCCCCACCCCTGTATATCCGGGTGCTCCCAGTAGCAGGTGGACAGATGGAAGCTTCGTGTCACTTGCCAGAGAGTCCAAAGACAGGATTACATAACCGGGTTCAGGAGGGACTTAGGTTTTCCAGTGCTAAAGATGAGACCCAGGGCCTCACGTGTGCCAGACTGAGCTATGTCCCCAACCCCCAAGAGAGAACGTTTTATTTTTTTTTTATTTTTTTTTTTATTTTTTTTGGTTTTTCGAGACAGGGTTTCTCCGTAGCTTTGGAGCCTGTCCTGGAACTAGCTCTTGTAGACCAGGCTGGCCTCGAACTCACAGAGATCCACCTGCCTCTGCCTCCCGAGTGCTAGGATTAAAGGCGTGCGCCACCACCGCCCGGCCAAGAGAGAACGTTTTAAAAAAGACCTTTGAACTCTTAACCTAGGCATCCTCCTTAGCCCCTGTCTAGAAGGCCAGAGACAGGCTGAATGCCCTAATCTTTTTCCAGAAAGCAGTCTAAATTGCTTGTCCAACGGCTGGCTAAAGTGACCATCTAGAGTGGGCCAATACTGCCCTCTGCTGGTGGTTTTAGTTCAACCCACAGCCAGCAACAAGGGAATCTACAGCTTAGAATAGGAGAGTAGAGTTCAAGACTCAGTTTGTAGCCAGTCTGTCGTCTTCTGTGCTGACAGTAGCTTCAACCCCACTTCACAAAAGCAGGTTTGACCAGGAAGAAGAAGATGACCCCTCAAAACAGGAGGGCTGGAGACGTAGGCTCCCTGCCATCCCTGGAACGCCAGAGTTCAGCCTGTGGGAGGGGAAGAGAGCTTCTCTGCATGTCCTTGGGGAAGCAAGCAGGTGACTTTGAGACATAGGGGGGGAGCTGACGTGCCCCCTATGAAGTTTCACATGCACACCTGACCCACGCGTTAATTCTGCCTTGTTTATGCAGAAGGTCTGGCTCCTTGGCGTTCCTGAGAACCCGGATTCCACTGAGCAGGGTGGCTTTGATGAGATAATGGTCTATGGCAGTGCCAACTCCAGCTCTAATGAGCTTCCATTTCCCCTATGGCTGCGGACAACACCTTCCCGACATCAAGATTATCACCGTCACTAGTTTAAGAGGGGGAAGGGGCAGGCAGATTTTATGCTAAGTCAACAATACTTGCTACAGTCTGTCATGAAGAGTGAAGACAGAGAGAGATCCTTCCCCCCTGCACTCCCCCCCGTACCCCGTGCACTTCCCTCACCCCACCCTCCACACCCACCCCCGCCATGGACATGAAAGTCATCAGGACAAAGGAAGAAAGCTGAATCAGCCAGAAAACACAGGACCAAGGGTGTGGATTTCCCTGGCAAAGGCTTGCAAGAGTTCAGGTTTCTCCTAAGGCCAGGGCAAAATGCAATGGTTCTGACCCTGATGTCTGAGCCCCCATCTCTGCAGCGTCACACACACACACACACACACACACACACACACACACCGCACACACTGCACACACACGGAGCCTTTCTCTGCGCCCTAGAAAAGTCCTTCTAGGTTGAGTTCAGCCGAGGTTTGCTTTTATTTTCCTTCCATCTCCGGCTCTGCCTCCTCAGCACCCAACCTTGAGAGGTTCAGGCTGTCCTGACTCTTTCTCTTTTCCCACTCACTGCCAGACCACCTAGAAGGAAAGGCACCCAAGAGGACTCACTGGCCATGAAGTGTCTTAGACAAGAGGACCCAGGGACTCCTGGACTTCCAGGGGGCATCCCCAAAGCGAAAATGCTCCATAAACTAAAATATCTTGTTGGTACCGCAAGTGAATGCTTTATTCACTCATGAAATGATCTGAAAGAATGGGCAGACTGGGCATAAACTCAGGGATAGTTTGCCTAGCCTGAGGAGTCCTTGGGTCCTTCCCAGCATCGTCAGTAAATTGTTCCGGGCTATGTATTTAAGAGATATATATAGATATATACATATATCTATATATATATATATGAACCATAAATGGATTTCATGATTAGAGGTGGGTCCCGTCTACCAAATATCCCATTAGGAATATGCAAATATTATGTTTTTTTTTATCTAAAATCGAAAACATTTCTTGTCACAAGTATTTCATCAAAGTAAAATCAACCAACCTATCAGAATCAAGGGAGATATTGGGGTAAGCGTGCCTCAGCTGTGTTTATAAGTTTGTTTCTTTCTAACATATCTGAGTGGCCCCGGATAACCGGGCGTCCCTGACCCAAGGCAGTCAGTTCCTAATGAAGTGTCCCTGGAAGGCAGAAGCAAGGGTGACTTCACGAACTGATAATCTCCTAGCCAAGTCAGAACATGGAAGTGACCGGGTTTAGTCATGACCTCTAGGAGATTCTAGCCAGGAACCCACTAACCTTGGCCTTCTTGTGTGGAGCACGGCTGTCTTGGTACTGTAGGATGGTGAATACCATTTGTGGACTTTCCTACTAAATGCTTCTGGCGGCCTCCCGCCATCTGGGACAGCCACAAAGGTCACTAGAAAGTACTGAGTGCCCCTGAGAGGGCAGGACCTTCAGCCATTGGACCAAGCAACCACTGCTTTTGGGCCATGGAGCTGTCTACCTGTGACTGTAGGCCTTCTGGTTATAGAGCTGGAGAAAGCCAGAAACCTGCCCCAGTTCGATGGTTGCTTCTCTAACCTCCTTCAAACCAACGGTGACATAGCAAAGTCTCAAAACTCCCAAGTCAGAGGGTAGCTCAGCGTTCTTAAGACAGAGGCACTGAGGAGCCACCTCTCACGTAGGGTCTGAGGCTATCCCCTGTCCCTATCCCACCTCCGTGACCCAAGCTCTGTCTTCCCACTTTTGTCGCTGTGTTGTCCTTGTGACTGTACGACCCACTCCAGGCTCGGCAATTGCTTGCCAGAAGTCCCGCGTCCCACATGGGATCAGGTTACACCCAGAGGGTTCACTTCAGGGGTTACAGGGAGTGGGGGCAGGAGGACGGGCAGAGCCCGGGTTCCGTCTCACCACGCACAAGCTGTCAGAAACTCGGACGCCCCCACCCACCTCTGACTTCTCCATGCTGCTAATCTCTGCCAAGTGTCCCGTGTGCTCCAGCACTGCCACCTGCCCCCACGCCCTCTGCGAGGCTGTCCAGGCTGTGTTCTCGCATGCTTCTCTTCTATATAACCCTCACCTTCTCATTTGATGGGATTCAACACAAAGTCTACTTATGCTTGTTTGCATTATGGTTAAACTATTAAAAAAAAAAAGTGCACTGACTCAGCTGGCTGGTGTCTTTTGTCACATTGGGTTGGCATATCACACATCTCTCTACCACAGTCGTGGGTTGGGTATCCAGGTAGCATGTATTGGGACTAGAGGATGCTCACAGGGTAAAACTGTTGGGAAAAAGAAATCTCTTTGGTGTCCTGATTTGGGGCCAGAAGACAAGGTTTTATCCATCAGTCCCTCTTGGGCCATTGCATTCTTGAGACAGTTGACCACTAAGGACACTCCTAGCTGCTGGGATGGAGGGTTGGGGAAGTAACTAGGTCTCCATTCCCATACAGCCACCCCCCTCCACAGCACCCCTCTTCCCCACCACAGCCTCATCCTTCAGAGGGACCCCAGAGAGGCAGCCCCATCGCTCAGTTCTCCCATGTATCAGCCCTGAAGACCCCAGAGCTCAAACCTAGCTGGTCTCAGGCCCACCTCTACCTAAAAAGAGATCTCCAAAGCCCCGACAAGGAAGCTGGAGAGATGGCTCAGTGGTTAATACACTAGCCGTTCTTGCGGAGGACTCAGGTTCGGTTCCCGGCACCCACATGGTGACTCACAGCCACCTGTAACTCCAGATCCAAGGGATTTAATGCCCTCTTCTGCACAGGCCACAGGTGTGCATGTGGTACACACCCATGCCTGCAGGCAAAACAGCCATATGCATAAATTAATTTTTTTTAAGTGTAAATCCCCTACCAGGGCTGATGAGGAGGTGCTTGTCTTAGATGCCGGGATGAGTTGGTTACTGACAAGGGATACGGGAGTGAGACAGGGCGGGGGGGGGGGGGGGGAATATGCCTTCACATGCCCTCTGTGCTGCCAATCAATTCCTGGGCCCCACGTGGGGGAAGGGGAGGACTGACTCCCGAAAGGTTGTTCTCCTCACACAGCGTGTGCATGCATACCCTCCTCGTACCCCCCTCCCTGTCTCTCTAGTCCTCACTCATCCCCACCCTGAGCCTCAGTCCAAGGTGCAGTGTAAGAGGAAGGTCAGAGACTCAGAGATGGAGCAGGAACCAGGCCAGGCCACTCATGCCCTGCCCCCCTTTCGAGACTACAAATTCATCAATCAATTAACACTGTGGCTAATGATGATGCAAAGCCAGTCCCCACAGGCTGCTTTGGAAGTCAGGATGTCACTGTGCAGCATGTGACTCTTTGCCCTCCCTAACTGGGGGGGGGGGGGCGGGATGCCAGGCAGCTTTACAACTTCCACAGCTCGGAAATGACAGGGGTGGAGCCAGGAGCAGCCTGTCCATCCTAAGAATCCACATTTTGATCCACCATGATGGGTAATTGCTGAGATACTCAATCTTGGTTCGAATCCCAGCTCCTCTACTTCCTGGCTGTGTAACTTCGAATAAGTTGCGCAACTTCTCTGTGCCTTCATTTCTTCACCATAAAATGGGCTGGTGGTTGTAATTTGTTAGATTGTGGTAGTATTAAATGAGTTCAAATGTACAACATGGGATGGGGTGGGGTGGGGGTAGGGTGGGGTGGGATGGGATAGGATGAGGTATGCTGGGGCGGGGTGGGATGAATTTGATAGAAAACTAAATAGGCTTGAATTCTGGCTCTCCCGACTTCCTCTGCTTATTTCTCTTCTGGGTATGAGCAGTCTTCTCCCGAAAATGACATGATACCTAACCCTGATCTCCTCTGGCCTCTCAGGCCCTATAAAGAGTCGGTTCCTGAACACTCTCACCATGCCCTCAGAGCTGGCCTTCACATCTGCGTGTTTAACCAGCTTCCCTCCTGACACCTACTCAGGCTGGAGCTTTGACAGGTCCAACCTGAGAGTTAGCCAGGGACAACGTAACAGTGTACACCTCCCCAACTCTATAGCTCCTGTTGCCTAGCAACCAGGTGAACATTTTAAGTTTACACCCAAACAGAACCTTCGCAAGCACAAATCAAAGAAGAAAAAGGTGGCGACAGTATATGGTGTGGGGGGGGGGGCGGGGGGAGAATAAGAATATTGTTAAGTATTTGGAGATCAGCCTAGACTTTGGGCTTCCCTGGGCAGTGAGATGACTCGGTGGGGAGTCTGCTTGCCACCGAGCCTGGTGACCTGACTTTGATCCCTGGAACCCACCAGGAAGGAGCGAACTGACTGCACAGAACCTTTTTTTCTTCTTCACTTTCCCTTTGCAAAGTCACCGAAAGGGCAAAGCCCAAGAACAGGGCTGTGAAGCTGGCTCCATGGTTAAGAGAACTTGCCGTGCAACCTTGAGGATCCGAACTCACATCCCAGCACCCACGAGCCAAGCCAGGTGTGTTTCCACGTAAAGCCAATACTGTGAGACAGAGACTGGAGGATGGGGGCTTGCTGCACCAACCTAGCTGAAAAACACGAGTTCCGGGCTCAAAGTAGTAATTCTCAGGCTTGGGAATGCAAAGGCACATGCAACCACGTGCACAAATGTGCATACACCACACACACACACACACACCAAGGAGCATATTTATAATTGGCTTGAACTGTGATATTTAGCCCCTGACTTGAGAGCAAGATTTGAAGATCGTCCACAGTGGTTCTCAACCTATGGGTCTCAACCCCTTTGGTGGGGGGAGGGGAACAACACTTTCACAGGTGTTGCATACCAGATATTTGTATCATGCTTCATAACAGTAGCAAAGTCACAGTTATGAAGTTGCAATGAAGATGATGTTATGGCTGGGGCCACCACACCATAGGAACTGTATACTAAAGGGTTGCAGCGTTAGGAAGGTTGAGAACCGCTATTCCAGCTAAGACAGCTCTCGGTTGGGAGAAGGTCACAAAGAAGAATCAGCAGCAGCGGAAGTGTGTGTTAAACGCTGCAGCGCGTAAGTGGATCTGCTGTGGATCATCAAATCCAGTGTGAGCTCTATGGAGAAAGAGGAGCCTGCCCTTGTTCCTCTAAGCCTCAAAAAGCACACGCTGCCCCCAGGTCCCCTCTTCTGGAAAGAACTCTTCCATACATAAAAGTCACACTCTCTGTCAAAGGAACTCAGTGCGGCTGGGAATCAGAGAGGGAGTCGACCCCTCAGCCCAATGTGCAGAGCGCACGCTTTTGTTTCCAGCACTTGATCCCTCTTCTTCCTCCCCAGCTCCACCACAGCCTCATCTTCTGGGCCCGCTGATTCTCCTAGAGAGCTTTAAGGCCGCCACTTCTCGCCTGCAGGAGCGCCCCCTCACCTCCGCCATCTTTGTCAACCTCTTTCTGCTGCTGAGGGATAGTTATTTAAACTTCGCCATGGCACAGACACAACCCAGGGAAAGAACGGGTGGTTTGGGCTTGTAGTTGAATACTGTCCGTCGTGGTGGCGGGAGGCAGCTGGTGACACTGGGACCAAGAGTGGCGCTCGGTTTACTGCCTTCTTTTTTTCATAAAAGGGATCCCAGCCCACCAATTGGTGCTGCCACTCTTAGGGTGGGTCTCCACGTCTCAACCTAATCTAGATAAGCCCTCCCATATATGCCTAGAGGTGTGTTTCCATGGTGACTTGAAATCTCGTCAGATCAAGGATTGAGATTAACCCATCACCCCCTCTTTTCTAGAATCCGTACCCATCCATCTATCCTTCCTGTCTGTCCCAGGCACTTGGCAGCACTCACTCTCTGTGTGTAAGTATCCATTTGGCTTCTCTGCCTTCGTGTATTAGTGCCTCCGAAATGCTGAGTAACAAACACACTTAAATCTCCTCATAAACTGTCAAAACCATTGCAGCAAAGGCTAGAGGGGTGAGGCTCTGAGCCCAGTGTCGAGCAGGACTAACCTTTACCAAGCCAAACTGCTACAATCTTCAGGAGTTCAGATGGGCCTACTCACAGAAGACCAGCACAGCTGGGCTTGTTTTAACAACTGGTGGTTCCTCAAACAAGGAGGGGGATGGGAAGAGTCATGGGACCCTCACCTGAGCAGCCAGCTACCCCTCCCAAAGAGTTGTAGGCAATTCTGCCCTGAGGAAGCAGCCTGAGTCTGGGGAGGGGATAGAGCGTGCAGGTGGAGGAGAAGGGAGAGGGTTCTAGCTATGCCGCCGTGAGGGCTTCTCTGTTCATGCCTGGTGCCAGGAACAGATCGTGTGGCTGGCTTGAGCTCACCTGCATGCCTGCCCGCAACCCCTCACCCACTGAGCTGTAAGTCCGAGTAGCAGAGCTTTGGTTTGTCATTGAGCCCTTAGGGGAGGGTGCAGCTGTTACTTCATTCCCTGCCCCTAGGGAGATAATTCTCCTGACTCCCAAGGCTGCGAGTGGGTGTCCCCTACAAGCTGGGAAAGACCCGCGGCTCTCAGTCCAACATTCGGGAAGGAGCCTGGTTCATCAGTACCCATTTTTCAGTCCCACAAGTCTCACTAGTGGGACTTCCGGCTTCCAGAGCTGGGTAATCAATTTGTAGAAATTTTTGTTTGTTTCTTTGTTTTTGGAGATAAGGTCTCTTGATGGGACCCTGGCTATCCAGGAACTCACAAAGATCTGCTTGCCACCCCAGCGTTGGGAGTAAAGGCGTGCACCACCACGCCCAGCTCCTTTACAGTTGCTATAAGCCTCAGTGTCAGGGCTAATTCTCTAAAGCAGCCTCAGAAATCTAAAACAAAAGGCTAGAGATGCAGCTTGGTGCTGGTGTGCCCTGGGCTCCATAGTTAAGACCTTAAAGTGAATGGAGGGAGGAGGAGGGGGACAGACAGACAGACAAACAGACAGACTGGGTTAGTCTGTTGCTGTTTAAGTGTCTCCTTGCCTTCTCTAGCTTCTAGAAGCTTCCTAAATTCCTTGGCCTATGGCCCAGCTTTACTAAAGCCGGTGTTTCTCAACACCAGCTAGTCTCTGGCCTTTGCCCTCCTGCCCCCTTCTCCTGAAGGCCTGTGTAACGACACCAGCCCGTCCCTCAGCATAAGTCTGTCTAAAGCGTCCTAACTTCGGCACACCTGAGAAGTTATTTTTTCCACCATTACAAAACCTTTACTAGTCATCAGCTTCTGGGGATCAGCCTAGGGCCATGTTTGGGGA